TCATATGATGGGACTTAATGGATTATGGTTGTCTTATGGATTAGGGGCGGTGGGGTAGCCTAGTGGTTAAAGCGTCCTCTCGTCACGCCGAAGACCCGGGTACGATTCCTCACATGGGTACAATGTGTGAAGCCCATTTCTGGTGTCCCCCGCCGTGATGTTGCTGGAATATTGCTAGAAACGGTGTAAAACCATACTCACTCACTCACTCTTATGGATTGGCAGTTTGGATCAATGCTCATGTTATCAGTCACTGGTTTGTCTGTCCAGATTATTCACAGGCCACTGTGTAGCGGATGTAGCTGAGATGGTGGTAACAAATATGGCTTGAACATGTGACAAAGACACATCGCTCACAACATACAGCTGGTGTTATGCATTACTGGCAATAAAAAAATTGCTGCACATCTGCTTCAGGGGGATTGTTGTTGATATTGTCAATATTTGAAACTGTATTGTATTGTGCATGCATGTAGGTATTGTGCATGCTTGCTTAACCAATTGTACTGCTTCTCATTATGATATCAATTGATCATATGATGACATAAAGGCAGTATTGGTGAGATCTTTCAACATGGTATGTGAGCTAGCCAGCTCGGTGTAGCCTGTATATCAATAAACCTGAATGTTGTGGTCAAAAGTATAATGAGTGTGCAGAGGCCCAGATAAACTGCGTATCCGGGATGAAATATGCATAGAAAATTTCCAATTACGCATTGAAAAATAATTGTTGCATACCAATTACGCATTTAAAATGTTACATACTCAAAGAGTTTAAAACAAATGCGTAAGGAATATATTTATAAAAATTGCTTGCGTAATGAAAAAGACATCGATTGCTATCAAGTTGTACTGATAGTATAAGACTAGTGTTGTACTGTCAGTATAGGATGAGTGATTTTTTAAAAAATAATTTCCATTATATTTAAGTTGGTTTTGATTAGGTATGACATAAGGCAGAACATACCTGCTTAGTAAACTTACTCAATGACATAATACTTAGGTGAGTAAAATGACCAAAATACGCACATATTTGAAAGCTGTAGGTAACGGAAAATGAAATACCCACTCAACATTCATAATACCCACTCCAAAAAAATACAGTGGGTACAGTACCCACATGAGCTAATTCTTATCTGGAGCTCTGATTGTGTGAGTTTAGTTTTACGCCACACTCAGCAATATTCCAGCTATATGATGGCAGTCTGTAAATAATCGTGTCTGGACCAGACAATCCAGTGATCAACAGCATGACCATCGATCTGCGCAATTGAGAACCAATGAGATGTGTCAACCAAGTCAGCGAGCCTGACCACCTGATCCCGTTAGTCGCCTCTTACAACAAGCATGGGTTACTGAAGATCAATATTCTAACCCGGACCTTCATGGGTAGTCAAAAGCATGGCTGTGAATGTCAAACATATTTCGTTGTCTTTCTAAATGTTTTGTCACAATTAAATTCATGTGTATCTACAGGCTTGTTTCTTTGATTGTTTGTTTGTTGTTTAACGCCGCACTCAGCAATATTCCAGCTATCTGACAGCAGTCTGTAAATAATCGAAGTCTGGACCAGACAATCCAGTGATCAACATCATGAACATCTGTCTACGCAACTGGAATAATATGACATGTGTCAACCAAGTCAGTCAACCTGACCGCCCCATCCAATTAGTCACCTCTTACAAGCATGGGTTGCTGAAGATTCTAACCCAGATCTTCATGAGTTAAATATGTGTATATCACAGGGATTAGGATAAGTGACTGAGCAAAACCACTGTGTAAGAAAATATATGGAAATTCCAGATTAGAATAGGTTCCTAGAAACCTATTCGTGTTGTATACAAGATGAGGGGTGGTGGGGTAGCCTAGTGGTTAAAGTGTTCGCTCGTCACACCGAAGTCCCAGGTTCGATTCCCCACATGGGTACAATGTGTGAAGCCCATATCTGGTGTCCCCCCGTCATAATATTGCAGGAATATTGTTAATGTGGTGTAAGACTAAAGTCACTCACTCACTGTATACAAGATCGAGGGCAGTGTAGGAAATAACCCCTGTCCGACCGCCCAAGACAGTCTAAATTTCTGACAGACAGTCTAAATTTACAGCTAGCCAGCCCAATGGTATGGTAAAAAATTTAGATGTTCCATACATCTTAGTAAATTCACCATATTTGGTCTGGTTAAATCCATTTTGGGCTGGTAACATTTTGAAGTTACCAGCCCTGATGTCTGGCTGGGTTTGTGACTTAGGTCACTGCAGTCTGCATGTCATCATGCCCTGACGAATTGATTATGTACAGGCCAACCGAGACATAAAAAAATAATAAAACTAGTATGAACGGTTGACTGAAACATGGATTTGATACCTCCTCTAATTGAAACACCACATGGTACGAAGCATTACACTGAATGTTTGTGATATAGATACCATCTGTATATATACTACCTTATACAGTAATACTGTTCTCATGTTAATGTGTACAGTCTGTGACACATTTGATCATGAAGGCAGTCACTATTAGTGGTGTTCCCGATTAATTGAAATAATCGAAGATTGGTCGCAGTGACCAAACGACCAAGCAATCGATCACATTTTCTCATAATCGAACAGAAACGATTTTGGAACTACTATTTTAGTCTTTGAAATACTTGACAATGGAACATACCTTACAAGTTGTCAGGGCCTGAAAACATGTTTAATTCTTAGAAAACTCACTTCACTAGCTGAAAAGTTATGACTGAATATTTCTCTAAGACACCAGGAAGTTTATGTTCATGATATATTAGTCATCACTTTAATGTAACAAGTTGCATCATGTTATACTTTTCTGCAATAACAACCTGGATAGGAAAATCTGAAAAATGACACTAACCAAGTTCTTTCGATGATTGTTCGTTGGTAATGAAGCAATCATCAATTGTGAGATTTCAACCAATTCCCAACACTAGTCACTGTGAGTGTTTAATATGCACCTGTGACAGATGGTCCTATATTGGCAGCTTGAGTCACTGTTATGTCCTGTACGTCCAGATTACCTCACATCCAACCCAATGTTAAGGTTGTATTTCCAGGATAGAACTTAGGATTACAGGTTTTTTCAGATATGCCAAAGACACTAATAGAGTGTTTAGAATTGTCCTAGGGAATAAGTGTGTTCCACCAAAAGAATGTTTCAGAAATACACTCTGGAATCTGTTTATTCTGTGGGTTTGTTTGCTCAGTAAAAGTACATTTGAATTTTCACATTGTTTTGCGTAATAAAACTAGTTACTTTAGTGCCTAATAAGGCACTTTATTATGTGAACATCCATGTATGCACTTGGGCCTAGGGACATTTATTTCAATTATGCTGAAGTGAAGCTTTGTTTATTATGATATTCTGGATAAGGGAATGTTGGCTCCAGTTATGCTGTCCCAGTGGATGTTTGTGTATAGGGGACGATGCAGCTATTGAAGAGGGACTGCATCAGGTGTTTGAATAGTATGAATACAGAGCAGATCATGGAAACATTTTAGAAGCGGCATCAACTTAACTATATAATTAGTATCTGTATGAGGTAGCAGGAGGTCAAGTGTCTTGCCGGAAATTTGCCCTTTTCAGTATTGACAGATTCATTCTTATATTCATTTAGTAGTGGTAGATTTGATGCAAGTATACAGTCTGTGTTTAGAATGTATCATGAAGGTTGTGTGGTCCTTGTTATAACCCGTAAGTCCCAAAAACTTTTAAAGTAAAATTTTCATGTACCAAGTTTTTATACGTAGTATTTTTGTTCTTTTAAATTTCGGCTAAATTATCCTAAAATCGCCAGCGGCTGAAGTGATGGTGTAAATCCAGCTAGGCTCCATGCAGGTAGCAAAAGTAATGCAAGTCCCCATGGTTCCTAGTATGGTGATCTACCTTCAGTTGTTGGCGATCTATAGCCTGTTTTTATAATGTATTGTCCACATAGTGCTATTAGTTTTAACTTTCCACGCTAGTTTTAATTCTAATTGTGATATTCTAGTTGTTTTACTGTCCTTCGTCGACAGGTTTTTATAATATACATATATTCCATTTCAATGTCAAATATGTTTTCGCCACAATATGGCTGCAATATTGCCGATGTGACGTTAAATAATAACTCACTCACTCACTCACCTTGTTATAACCATGATAACCCTCATTTTGACTGTTAGTGATTTGGAGGGTCCACAGGTAAATCCCATACTAGAAGTACCCCTCAAAGACATCAGACTGTGGGATTATCAAAATGACAGAAGTCCATGTTTTGTCTTATCCTTTAGATTTAGACTTTAAGACCAAATTTTGTCACAGATGGGGATTATGAAGCTTGATGTTTGCAAATATCGTAGTCTAGGAAATGTTTTTCTTTCTCAGATCACTTTCATGATCCTGGGACCAGTGCTGCACAGTAATGAAAACAACTGGCAGTGATCAGAAACAGAATTTGTAGTGTTTGGAGTAAATGCTGTGTAAAATGGCAACATAATGGTTATATATTAAATCCATTATCAAACTGTTCAGTTTAAGGACTGGAAAAAGAAAGTAGACTACTACTGACTAAGTTTGGTTTTACGCCGCTTTTAGCAATATTCCAGCAACATCACGGCGGGGGGCACCGGAAATGGGCTTCACACATTGTACCCATGTGGGGATTCGAACCCGGGTCTTCGGCGTGACGAGCCAACGCTTTAACCACTAGGCTACCCCACCGCCCCAAAAAGAAAGTAGAAAAACAGTCCTCGAATTTGTTGCAAAATTTGCTTCCCATAGTGTGTACACTTTCTTCTTGATTCTGTCACACATATGATGTACTTGATAGTTAACTATATTTTTGTAAATGAGTCGGGTCGTTCTATGTTAGTCACGTTCACCTACCCACAATATTTCAGAGAAATTGGGGCAGCTTTATTTCAAAGTTCCTTTCATGTGTTTGTATAGTTACTATCATGTAGATTTAGTGAAAATGTTGACAGTGGTGTTCTTTTTATTCCAGCACGTTCGTCTGCCCAACAGAAATTATTGCATTCAGCGATCGGTCTGAAGAATTCCGCAACATCAACTGTGAGGTCCTTGGATGCTCCACAGACAGCGTGTACTCACATCTAGCATGGTAAGACACCTCACAGGGTTCTTGTAGCAAACTGATCACGTCTAGCATGGTAACACTCCTCACAGAGTTCTTGTAGCAAACTGATCACGTCTAGCATGGTAACACACCTCACAGAGATCTTGTAGCAAACTGATCACGTCTAGCATGGTAACACACCTCACAGAGGTCTTGTAGCAAACTGATCACGTCTAGCATGGTAAGACTCCTCACAGGGTTCTTGTAGCAAACTGATCATGTCTAGCATGGTAACACTCCTCACAGGGTTCTTGTAGCAAACTGATCAATGCCTTCTGGTGTCTTGTAGCAACCATGGTAACACACCTCACAGAGGTCTTGTAGCAAACTGATCTAGCATGGTAAGACTCCTCAAGACAAACTCCTCCATTCTCACAGGGTTCTTGTAGAACCATTGTAGCACCATATTTACTTCAAACTTGGGAAGACTCCTCACAGGGTCCAGCTGGAACCATGGTTACATCAAGCATTCTTCACATGGTTCTTGTAGCACCAGAGTCACATCAAGCATACTAAGACTCCTCACAGGGTCCTGCTGGAACCATGGTTACATCAAGCATTCTTCACATGGTTCTTGTAGCACCAGAGTCACATCAAGCATACTAAGACTCCTCACAGTTTTCTGATAGAAAGATGATAACATCTGGCATTACTGCAAGGTAACATGGTTCCAAGTAATGTTATTAAGTTAACGAAGACAAAATACTGTATCTGGCTTGCACAACCTTGGACCACTTCAGCAAGGGAAAGTTTGGTCTTAATTTCCTCTTATATTAAGTTGTTATAACATATATATTCTAAGTGGTGTTAATGAACCTAAATCACACAAAATGGTGGTGTAATTCCAGGATCAACACCCCACGGAAGCAGGGTGGTCTTGGCAACATGAAGATCCCCCTCCTTGCTGACAAGACCATGGAGATTTCCCTCAAATATGGCTGTCTGAAGGAAGATGAAGGAGTTGCATTCAGGTGGGTATCATTTACACTCCAGCATCCAGCTGGTTAAGACAATCCTCACTCTGATCTTGAGCAGTTTTATTTAGATTTATAGACTGAAGGAAATGCTAGAAGCATTGTTAAATGTAATACTGATTCCCACATCAATCTGTCACTCTAACTAAAACAATATCTCCGGTACTTCATTTACATGACTCTGTTGTGTAGTCATTGCCAGGAAGATATCGAGTAGTGCTGACTTGTAATCCCCAGCCAGTATTTTGTGGTGATTCTGGGACAGCATGTTCTCTCCTGAACCCAGTGCATCTTCTTACAAGATAATAACATTCCATTCCAGTTCCATCCCTCTTCACCTTCCCAGCTCTGTCAGCGTATATTCATCTCATTCTCAGCTCTCACAGTCCATACTTATCCACTTATTGCTAAAAGTGGCGTAAACAACTCACTCACTCACTCACTTCTCAACACTCACTCAGTCTCAAACCTCAGGAAATAAAGAGACATGGATATTCCCCAATAAAACTATTTACATCTAGCCTTAAACATACCTTTCAGGGATTGTGCTAGTCTCCAGTATCCAATGCTTGAATACACAATGCCGTCATTATCCTAGCTTCTGCTTTGCCATCAACTGTCTGTCTGTGTTTTTAACAGAGGACTTTTCATCATTGACGACAAGGGCAACCTGCGTCAGATGACCATCAACGACCTCCCTGTCGGACGCTCTGTGGACGAGACCCTCAGACTGGTTCAAGCATTCCAGTTCACTGACAAGCATGGAGAAGGTGAGATGACTCCTTGCAATTTGACATTTCATGCTTAATTTTGGGCACTCGTCCACTACCCTGGAGAAAAATATGTACCTAGTGCCTGAAGCTGGATACACGCAGATGAAATGAGAGTGGGATAGGTGACCAGTCTGAAGTAGTACTTCCCTGCTACACAACCATGACTAGGTCATCCCATCAGTTTCCAAAGGGTCACAAACACAGATGAAATTGATTCAGGAATTCTCACTGAGCATTATTTGCTTCATTCTGATTGGCTTAGTTGCCTTTGGTATAGTGTTCCAAAGCGGCCCATAGTGTTCTCAATATTTGTGGATAAGTCCACAGTGACAGATGTCATAAGAACTTGAATATGTCTTTGTGTTATCTGGACAAGAGACAATTTTGTGTGATGTTTTCCATGAACATTATGCACAACTTATTTCCCAAACATTATGCACATAAATTACCTTTATGCATTACCTAAAGACATGCAGTTTGGAATTACTTATTATGATTGGCATTCCAAGTCCCCTCATAAATATATGGTAAAAAGTCACAGAATGTACCAAGTTCATCAACTTGGCATAGATATTCCACAAAATCTCTCAGCTCATATCTTAATCACTAATTGTACACTAGAGCATAATGAAGCATACTGGAGACTGTGTATTGGACTTAACATACCATGTTGGTTGTAGTTTGCCCCGCTGGATGGAAGCCCGGTGCAGACACCATGAAACCCGACCCCAAGGGAAGCCAGAACTACTTCTCCAAGGTCAACTGAGGACATGACTTGGAGGAGGACTACACCTAGTCACTGCAAGTGGATGAAGGGCACAACAACATCATGCAGGGGACATGTCAATAGTGCTGTCATATTGGGAACATTGTCATCATGATCACTTCGGTTTCCTGCCAAGATCATCGATACTTGCCTGATTGTGTAGTAGCAGTTTCATCATTCATCATACATTTGACCATGGCACAGGGGAGATAACTGCTGTCATATCATATTTTGTCACTTGATATCGAGTTATTTATTTGAAGACACTCGTTCATTCTGTCCCCAGATATGTTGTTATTGTTAATGGCACTTCCTTAACTGTCAGATGAATAAATTTTGGAAATAGAAGACTGTTGTGTAATCTCTCACAGTTTTGTTCATAACAAAACACCTTCAGCATCGATCATCTTGACTGATGTAATCGAAAAGCAGAAGACTGCCATGTCAAGTACATAGTTATATTATTCTAAACTTTCCTGATACTTCAGGAAAAATCCAGTTTCACCAGTCTCACATCTGGTCTTTCTGACATATCTGGGGCGGTGGGGTAGCCTAGTGGTTAAAGCGTTGGCTCGTCACGCCGAAGACCCGGGTTCGAATCCCCACATGGGTACATTGTTTGAAGCCCATTTGTGGTGTTGCTGGAATATTGCTTAAAGCGGCGTAAAACCAAACTCAGTCAGCCTGACATATCTTTGTGTTGCATGAATGAGTACTAACATCTCATTTTAATGAGACCAGTAGAAAGTGCTGAAAGTTTATTAAATGACCGTTGAAACTCTTGTGAAAACAGGTGAAGATGAATTGTGCAACCCCCTTTCTCAAAAAAGCTGTATCCGACCCTGAATATTGGAGTGCAGAGTTTGATGTCGACACTTGGCAAGATAGTCAAGTCACACAACTGTTAAACAGGAATTTGAGTAACTAGGTTTTAGTCAAAACGTTCATGTAAGGAAAGAATTGCCACTCATAAGTGCATGAAGTATCTAAACTGAAGAATGCTGAGATCTGTTCTTCGACAGCAGATGACTAAATAGTAGCATCCTGTTTCTCATGTGATCCTACAGAGATGCAATCTGTATGTGTCTTTAGGGTACTTGCATTGCCATTGGATACCGTCTGTTGATTGAGTAAATAACTAGTCTGATCTGCATGGCATGTTCAAAACTTGTTAAAAGGTTCCAGTGTTATGTTCCGGAAATGTTTTTCATATTAGTCCAATTTGTCATGATACAAAAACAAATACCCCAAATCATCAAAAGGCACCAATTGGCCAAAAGACTGATCTGTAAAGAAGTTTCAAAAAGAAACATTGAGTAAGAAATTCTATGGAAACTGCAATGTCAGGATGGACAGACGTGATGACCCCACCTATGCCCTAGTTTTTAAACCAGGATGATAATGACAACGATAAGACACTGTTCTGTTTGATGCTTTTATTGCTGACATCAATTATGAAGTTGTAAAATTTCATCATAAAGGCAAAGGCATGTTCAAATGTGATAGCAAATTACTGATATGAATTTCAGTCAAAATAAATCAAAACTGCCACTATATAAAACTCAGACTTTAACAATCACAACCATCTAAAAACCGAAAATAAAAACTTGCAGCCAAACTACATTCAACACAGTAAAAAAAAAAATCCTCTGATATGATTGTAGCACTTTTGAGATATATAGTTTCTCACACGACACACTTGTGGAGATCATCAAGGTCAAAAGGTCACCTCTGATCATGGAGTCCCATTGTGTTAATGTTCACACAAGTAAGCAACTCTCGGCAAATATGTTTCGTCATTCATCTTATCAATGGCCAGATAAGCCCCACTGACCTCATTCAGAGAGCTAGATTGTGACCTTGACCTGACACCTGGGTCAACCAACATCTTGTCAAGAGCAGAAATAGCTTGATATTTCCACTTTTTGGCGCCCTGATATATGTTCTGTGGTTGAAATTGTTTGGTACTTGGCAATCAATTTACTGTGACAAACACAATGATACCATGTCACATTAATCGCCGCGGTTACAAAGGCCATATCAAATGGTTGACCATAAATGTTTAGATGGTCTTCATTAAGTACAAATCTTGTAAGGTCTTCATCCCATGTCATGGAAATGTCAGGATTTTAAGACCAATGATCAGTTAAAGAATCATATAGGAGCACAACGTTCCTAGGGAGATATTATATATATCACATCTGAACATATAACACCCATAGTGTGTACTCTACTGGCCACATTGAAATCCTGACATCACCTGACAAGGGGCACCTTGATTCTGATTGCCTTGGTATAAAAGTGAGAAAACTACATCACATTGTCTTTAGCTAAAAAGGCACAAGCACACACACATTGACACCTTTTAGAAAGGCAGTTACAGTCACAGACCTGATGGCTGCCGGTCAACAGGAACTGACCTATAGAAACAGTTGGATATGCATTTTGAAGAATCAGAATTCCGTCAGTAAAACATGGAATACATGTTGATGTTTTAGACAGGTATAGGATAAACTATCAGCATATATAGAATGTCTATAATCTTTCTAAGAACACCTGGTGATTAATTATAGCCAGCTTCTTTCAACAATACAGAAACATTACAAATTAAATCCAAAAACATGACAGCAATGGCTATCCACTAACAACTTCCAAATTTGATGACCTAGAATATATGGGTAGCAGATTTGGAAAACTAATTTTGAAAACAAAAACGGGATTGATTGCACATGATTCACAAGTCAAAACAACTTGACTTGGCCAATGTTGCTGTTGATTTTATTGAAAGGAAGGAGGAGTTTCCCCCCTCTGGATTTACCTTTAACCCTAAGGATCGTGAAGGGTGCCATACCCTAACCCTAAACTTAAGGATCGTAAAGGGTTGTTTGACTCTAAAGATGCAAGTGAAGGGAGACGGAGCAATTACCGTGATATAGCGAGACAGTGTGGTAGGGCTATAGCGTGATAATTGCCCCGCAGTAAGCAGCGAGGGCTGCGCCCGGTAAAGTGCATTCTAGCCCTACTTTCTTCTCATTACTGAACAGAAAGAACAAATGTTTCATTGATCAGTTGTAAACAAAGTTGAAGTTACGGTAAGACTAGTTACGATAAGACTTCAAGTTAATTATGATATTTACCGACCATCTTGACCATTGTACCAGCAGCCACCTAGTACAAGTACACAATGAAGACATCACTACATAGAACACGTACACACCTCTTCTCACATGCTCTCACACATGCACACAGACGTTACTCCCAAAGGAAACACTTAGCCCCCTGGCACTGCTGCCTCGCTATAGTATAAAACCCCTGATACATACATGGAATCATTTCTAGATGGAATAGTAAGTGAGTCTGCCCTTTCACCCTCCTTCAGGCCAGGACAAATGTACATCTCTCACTTCTAGTGACTTGTCCTGTAGAAGGTTGTAAGGCCAGCCCTGCATAGTAAGTATTGAGAGCACCTGCTAGTGGAGAGAAATGATGTGATTTATATACACTGCTATCATAAGTGCACAAGGCAGCAGAGGAGAGACAGACATCCAGAGTAACCATTTCAGGAAAAAACCATTGTGAACAATTGAACAGATCGGGTGTAAAGTACAACATAGGTAAACGGTCATTATGCATTATTAAGACAACGACCCATGCAGGCTTACCACAAAATGTTGCAGTCTTTGAGAAAATATTCCATAAATGCAGACTGAATGTTTCCAAAGATTACCAAACCCACCACAAAACTTTGGTAAGCTGTCTTACTTGAACACTACTGGTAAAATACAAGGTGAATTTGAACACACAATTGGGAAATTATGCGACAATCACTTGCAATTTGCATTCATGATACTCCTATGGGAGAGTCTGCATTTAGGCGCCATTGTATAAAGATATAAAAAATAGTTGTTCAAGGCACAGATTCAATCGTGCCTTCAGTAATGGTAGGCACTGAGACTGTTCAGGAGCTATAAAACTATTGTGACTAGCTACATTGATGTTCCAGCCTATACTATACTATAGTAAATATAGATATATAAATATACATACTTATCTCCATAAAATATATATTAAAAGTTTGTTAGATTTCATAATAATCTTCGTAATAGATAATTCATTTATAAACATGAGATATGTATTTTTTGCATCTTAAAATACTGCAACACTTTTAAAATCTATGAAATATACTAATAGTCATTTCTACAGATTAATGTGCTACAACCGTTGGCAAATACTAGTGTCAATGTTTATATACTGGTTTATTTCATTGATACTTCCCAGTGATGTTTAGCTACAGACATCAATGCTGTCAGATAAACACATATTCTTAGGTAAGATTAAAGTTCTCAGCTTTTGTATAAGAGACAAATGTTCTCTGCTTGTAAAGCTAGAAACACCAATGGTATGAGGTGGAACAGTAGACACATAATGCTTTGTTACTTCATTATTGACTTGTCCCCGAACTGACCACGTAATCTATCACACTGGACATATCCCACACACAGGTTTGGCACTTGTTTCAAGTGTTTAGGTATGTAGTCTGTAGCAACTTCATAAAGGCTTCAGTAATACAGTCAGCAATATGGTGAGTGATCCGTAGCTTTCCCTTAGGAGGCCTGGATAAAAGTCGCAGGAGAAGATATCTTCTCCCAATCGAAATTCACTTTTGCAGCTTGAAAGTCAGTTAAATAACTTACTTAGCGGCATAGGTGCAAAAGTTCTTGTTAAGACGTCCCATGACAGTTCTTAGCTGTCGGAACATGCTGCATCAAGAACCTTTCGGTCGTGGCAAAGCATTATGCCATTTCTTGGTTAACGTACCCGTTTTGGGTTGCTGATCAATGATCATGATAATATGTGTGAACAGCCCTGTTTTGTCCCTGTGACAACAGGCGCATGTCCTTAACGTCACACTGTGCATCCCAGCCTGTGGGTGCAGATGTGTGTGAACAGCCCTGTGTTGTCTCAACGACAGCAGGTGCTTGTCTCCAATGTACATGCGGTGCAGCCCAGCCTGTGGGTGCACTAAGTTGCATCATGTACACCGCTTTATAAATTTATATCCATGATAAATTCTCCATATACAGATGACCACTGTCCGGCAGTGGTTTTACATTTACGCCATCACAGATCAGATGATGTAAGACCCTAACCAGGCTTACTATCAGAGCTTGTGACACTTTGACTGTGACCTAATACACAGACCAAAACCAGTCCATCAATTCTCTTGCTGCAGCATTGTAGATGGTGATGTACGAAATTCATTGTGTAGTATTACCAGTGTTGGAGGCTGCTGGTTGCATTCATATACAATGCTGAAGCTACCTGCATCACAGTCAAAGTATCATCACTCATAAGTATGTCCTAATTATGGATCTTAGTCATGAAATTTGGTATTTATCCCCCTCAAATATACAAAGTTATCTCATTGAATGCCCTGCAACAGTAGAAAGTCGTCAATCCCTGAACAAGAGGTCAGCGTGTCATGCAGACACTGACACTTCTCATGACAGCGTCATGCAGCAAACATTGCATGACCATGTCATGAATACACCATCGCTCAGTACAGCATGACCTTGTGATAAGTCACTGACATGACATGACGATCTGACAATGACACTCCTGATAGTTATCAGGGGACAACATCACAAGACACTGTAACAAGTTATGGCACGAGAATGTCATGTAGACATGAATATAGGCATCATAATGGAGGCCGTCATTAGACTTGGCACAGAAGGCAGTCAGGACTTCTTGTACTGGGTGAAGAGAGGGTGCATCAGCAGCTCCCTGGCGTTGGGGCGGAACTCAGAGCTCTGCTCCAGACATCGCAGCATCAGGTCTCTCACTGCTGGGGACAAGTTCTCGGGAATTGGAGGAGATTCAACAGATGATGCAATCTATGAGGACAAAGAAGTGGAAATTAAGCATAAGCTGAGAAAATTATTAAGTTCATTTTATTTCATAAATGTGACCTAATTGATGAATCTTCCTTGAAACTTTGGTTCAGGGGAGCACATCATCATCACCTTTCAAATTATGCTAAATTTCTATAACACACAGAGGCATACTCAAAGTGCTATATAATCATTACCTTATTAAATGGACCAGAACACACTTCTCATTTTCATGCTGAATTCCCTGTTAAATGAAATGCTTTCATCCACCAACACTGGACCTAACTATAAAATACTCTTTTAATGGGCACATGTCATAGCAAAACCATTTCCATGGTATGGACAACGCCGTTCAATAGATACACTGCAGCAGCTCTAAATGAGAGAGAATGGGATTATCCTGCCCTTTGCCCTCTGCCATCATGACAAGGGACACCAAAGGGAAAATGAACAAGTCTCATTGGCATTACTTGCCAAAACATTGCCCTTGGTATTATCTGAAGAATCAGCTGCAAGGACTACCTTGAATATAAGAGCTAGATGATTTGATACATCAGGAGCGTTCCAGGGAGGTTTGGTGGTGGCCATTTCGATCATGCAACAGCCAACGCTCCACACATCACAGGCACGGCCATAGTTCTCGCCTCGCAACACCTTAAACAGACAACACAGCATTGTCAACATGAACTATCAGGCATTTAGCTTGACCTGCTCAGGCCGATATATTACCCCAAGTCCCAAATGTCAATAGAGATTCCAAACTGGTTCATAAAAAGTTCCTGCTTCATGTAATTATAGTCAAAACTACTGGTACTGATACTGTGGTCGAGAGGACTTGTGTTCCACTGATAACAGAATTAAACAATTAAGTCTTGAACAGACAATCCAGAAATTGACATTGTGTCCTGCAATCGATGACACCCAATCAACCATGTCACCAAGCCAGACCTCCTGGTTCACCTGCGTACCCCTTATGACTATCATACACCAATTCTAGACCGGAATGATGTGCTCATTGCCGTAATGTCAATGGTATAAAAGTACATGTTATAATATTGTGAACAATTGGCATATTGATTACAGTAACCAGAGTTACCTCCCTTAGCTAACCAACAACTGAAATACTACTAGATGGCAACGCCTCTCAACGTTACACCTCACTCTCTCACCTCTGGTGCCATGAAGGCGATCGTGCCGAGCAACTGACCCTGAAACTCTCCTGCACCCGTAGCTTGAGATGCTAACCGTGCTGCTGCTCCGAAGTCTCCTATCCTCAACCGCTGCCCTGTACTGTCCACCAGCAAGTTAGCTCCTGTAACAAAGAAAGGGAGGTAATTTACAAGATAATCTAGTGAAAGGGAAGTAACTTGAGGGTGGTGAATATTTCAGTTGTTGAAGCTGCAATGGTCATTTAGAATAACTGCCTGAGATGTCCCCCCCCTTGACACAAAAAATAGCACTTAATTTACATTTTGATATTTTCAGCAATGACATGATGGAAACAACTCAAATTCGGTTGCCAATCCTGCCTTACCTTTGAGATCACGATGAAGAATGCCATTGTCATGGAGATAAGCGAGACCCTGAAGGATCTGCCTGGTGTAGTTTGCTATCACCTCGTCTGAGAAAGACCCGTATCTACCGAGGAGATAGGTCAGAGATCCGCCTGTACAAAACACACAACAGCATCATAACCTGTTACTTACTCAAGATTTTGTTGTTCAAAATCTGCATTGGCAAAATTCAAACAAAGGGACTGAACCCTGTAAGCATTTTAATCTGAACACAAGGACAATAACACAATGACAAGTCACAGATACACATAACCCAACCAAGCTACAGTCATTGACAGTTAGAATGATCAGTCTCATTTGTCATCGATCATGTTTTTTACTTGGACACTTTCTCAAGATTCATATACATTCTTTTCACATAAACATAAATTGACAAGTATGGATTATAGATCTTATTACAGGTCTGCAAAACGATATTGATATTCCTTCAAATATAAGCATTACATAATAATTAAGTACCGAGGCAAGTGAAAGAGAAAATATCCAGGAGCAGATTTGTATCATTAATCGCAGTAGATCTGCTCCCCTTTAAACACTTTCACGGAAAGTTGGTTCTGGATACTGACGGACCCGTGTTAATGCCTTGTGTTTAATAAACAGCTGGTATTACACAGTACCACCATACCTGGCATCCACTCCACGAACATGTTGAAGTGGCATCCCTGTTTGGTGGCGCCGAAGATGCGGACAACGTTGGGGTGGGCCAACCTGGCCATCATCTGCACCTCCTCCGCTATTGCCTGAATCACCTTCTCCTGTTCCATCGGGCTGTTCCGGCAGAACGAAATCTACACGCAATAAAAAGACATTCAGAAATGTTTGGATCAACCACCACCTTTTCTCCTCAAATAACATTTGCTCAAGTTCCCAAGAAAAGAATTAGGTCCAATTTCATATCTCAAGATATTTCTTCTGGGATACTTTTGATACACGTAGATCGTGTGGTGCTTTTTATTGATTTGAAGGTTTTAGCCTCACATTGCTGTGGTGATGTTTCTTCTGGCATACTTTTGATACAGGTAGATTGTAAGGTGCTTTTATTGATCTGAAGGTTTTGGCGTCACATTGCTGTGGTTTATTCGCTTCATCGTCATGATCTGGAAACATTGCCTTAGACGCAAGTCAGTCAATCGCATATTTGAACAACGTGGCTGGACATTTGTTTCATATACAATGTCCAAAATAACAAGTAATTATGTCTTTCATACCTCTTTAGTTCTCAAAACGAGCCTGTAGCCAGTGTGTACAGGGTGAACTGACCTGTTTGACTGCCATGAGCACCCCTGTGCGTACATCGCGCGCCTGGTAGCAGGTGCTGTAGGCTCCCGTCCCTAGCAGTGGCCCCTTCACCCAGTGAATGTTCTCGTAGTAGATAGACGGCTGATCGGACTCCGTGCTGGTACTGCTCCCATCCTGAACACAGACAATGTTATCAATACTTAGAACTGGTCTTGAGCTCCGATGTTTGTAGTAAGAGGTGATTCATTGGGTCAGGTGGTCAGGATTGCTGACTTGGGTGTTACTAAAGTTGTATCCTTCTCTCGAAGGTAATACCGTCTGATGTACGCCTCTTTGAAGCAGTGTTACCCGAGCTGGTAGGAGAGGAATAACACTGCTACAAAGAGACGTACATCAGACCGTATTACCTGAGGGAGAAGCATACAACGTATTTATCTTACCGCCAAGTTAAATGTACAAAATATCATCTTATTTTATTGGGAAGATCGCTACCGACTATATGACATGTAAACAAAATGGCGTCTGCCTCTCGACTGGATTTTTAAAATTAGTGAAATATATTCTGACAAGCTTAGAACTGCTATAAAAATGGTTATTTATGTTTAAGTTGAGTGTGTAAACGATTCAATGCATAAAATAGTTGAAATAAAGCAGAGAAAGTCGGTGATATATATGTCTACATAGTGAACTCAAAAACAGCTAATCAAACAGTTTTTGAACTCCGGGCACTGCATGCGTCATATTATCATGTCATATGATTCTTAGCGATAAAGCTTCTCGGCGGTTACCATGGCAGTGGGTAATATTTTTTCCAGCTGTCACCCTCCTAGGAGGGGTGACAAGGAAATTTGTTAAAGTGTCATTGACCAACGAAATTATATTTTTTTACATGAAGGTAAGATAACTGCCTTTGTCCTAAGGAACAATTGTGATTCTCTGGTATTGGTAATTTACATTATCATTGCTTTAGGTGACAGCATTTGTTTAAAACTGTGAACAAGTTGAAATGTGAAATAGCTTCTTACTATTTGAGTGTATGTAATCCCTTACCTCTGGTTGTATCCGTATTGTGAGGACCTCCTCTCTAGCTGTGGGTGTGAGCCCTGGGACTACAGGGCATGGATCCTGCCTCTCCGACACGGCCATAGCGCGAGCCAGTGCCTCCGCCTCCTCCCTCTCCACCTCCTCCTTGCATGAACACTTGTCATCATGGTGGGTATGTGTGTGCCTCAGTGCTAGGGGAGAAAACAATGAAGTTAGGGCTGCAACGATTAGGTTCAATTCATCGAAAATCAAATCTGACACCATACTTTCAATTTTCGATAAGCATTATCACTATTTCGATTCGATATTTGAATACCTATTCAAATTATTTCCACACAGCCACAATGTAATCTTGACTACAACTCAAGCAGTTTGGAGCGCTGAAATACGGCGAAACGTGATTGGTTGATGCCGGGCTTATTATAAAATGACAATTGTTGTTAGTAGACATCGCCAAGTTGACAATGGATTTCATGATTAAAAAGCCGACTGATAGGTAAATGAAATCTGATGTTTTTACTTGTATGAAGAATCGAATCGAAAATGATGGAATCAAGGGTCCAATATCGAAAATCGAATCAAGGTCTGGGTGAATCGTTGCAGCCCTAAATGAAGGTACAACAGATTCATTTCATTCCTACCTACAACAACAAAAAGTTGACTTTGTTATAATTAAATACGTAACTATTAGGTGAAGGTTCCATGAAAATGTAAATATGATCGCAATTATTAAATCTTTCAGGAGCAAAGTGCAGCTAATCAGCTTGCCTATATATTCAGGATGTTCAACCCTGACTCTGGAGGAACATTCATTGAAATAGCTAATGAATAATATTCATATTAATTAAGACAATTAATTAAACTGGTGTACAAAATATGTCAATGTCTGCAAAAGACATTAGGTCAAGGGTTTATCGGTACAAATTATGTGGAGTGGTTGATGCATGCATCATGGTCAAATTTCACTGTCATGAAATTCATACACATTGAGTGATTCAAGCTTAACTGACTAACTGAGAGTGGTTTTACGCCGCTTTTAGCAATATTCCAGCAATATCACAGCGGGGGACACCAGAAATGGGCTTCACAAACTGTACCCAATTGGGGAATCGAACTCGGGTCTTCAGCATGACGAGCGAACAGCTTGAACCACTAGGCTACCCCACCACCCCAATTCAAGCTTAAACCTAACGAACTGATATATGTGACTGCAAAAGAACCCTTACCTTGATCAGCAGTATGGCTAGGTGAGGTCTTGGGAGATTCGGCGACTTCTGACTTGAACGACACTGGCATCTCACTGGGCGTGTCTGGAGATGATGTTCCGTTGATGTCCAGGAGGTCATCACTACTCATTGTTTCCTGATCGGCAGTGTGGAAGTGGGGAGCATGCTCAGGGGTGTTGGGAGCTGCTGCTGACCCCACTGGAATGGCTTCCTCCTCCCCAGGGGATGTGCTACAACACCCTGGGACCGAACGGTGAATGCAAGAGTTGTGGGTAGCTCCTTCCTCATCACATAGTGAGATGTGCTCATCGAAGTCAGCCACAGTGTTGCTTAATGAGTCTTTCTGTGCAAGGAGACTGTCGTCTGCTTCTGGCTTTTGTGGTTCTACAGGTTTCTGGTTACTTGTGGATGATGTAACACAGATTAGAGGAACTGCATCCGACTTTGCTGCATTGTTAGTTGTTTGAGCATCATGGGAATCTTCACCTTCATCCTGAAGCTTTGCATGCTGTGATTTAGCCAATAGTACCGAGTCTCTAGTAATTCGGCGGGGTATGGATCTTTTCTTTCTCCTTGAGCGGTTGTGGGTGGGTGTGTTGGGCGGACATGAGGGGACTGATTTGGCACCGGTCTCACTCTGGCTTTCAGAGCAATACGTGGCAGGGGAGGGGCACCTGGGGGGTGGAGACGGGAGATTCGTTGGGGGAACCAAGGGGGGAATCAACATCCGCATGGAAATGTTTCTTTGAGCCATGTTGCAATTCTTGTACAATCTTTTCAGACAATTGAAAATCGTTGATTATTCTTGCTAATTTTCGTTTCACGGATATCACAGAAGTTGAGTCGATGTCTGAGAGGAGATCCTCCAGCTCAGTAACAATGGAGTGAAGATGAGCACCGAGTTTAGCCGTCAACAGGAACACCCTGCGGGCCATACGAGAAATACGAACATGAGCATTACAAACAGCCTTCACAGAGAACCTGGCAACAGAGAGGAGTCTGAGCGAAGTGTCAGTCTGTCGCACACCTTCAGCAGCTGATGCCCCCGCCTCATCAGGGACGCTGGTGTCGGGACTGGCATCCGAAGCGCCCTCTATCTCTCTTGGGAGGAAGTCTTGAGGGAACTCCTCCAGGAGCTTCTCTCGATGATGTAGAGTCTCCCTAGCAGCCATTGCCATTGCACGCTGTCCACGCTGTATTCTTCTGTTACACACTTGAGCACATAGTTGAGACCATCCAGGCCTTTGGGACCTGTCAAAGATACTGCTGACAGTTAGATAAGCTCGTTTTCGGTAGAAAGAATCATTTTCACAATAGACAATCCAGTACTGAAATTTGATTAATAAATCTAAATGCTATGAACCCCAGAACCCTGTTCTTGATATATAATGCATAACTTTTCTTGGGCAATAGAACCAAGTTCTTTATAGACAGAAATATATCTGACTTTGTGATATATATAGTCGACTTTACGTGACTGACCTCAAGGCACATATAAAGATTAAAGAGTCTGTGAAGTGAGCTAAGGATAAATAATATTGCAATCAAGGATACTGGCCTCATGAGTGAGTGAAGGAGAACTAAAATCAGGTTTTGACGAACACATAAGTTTTAGTATAATCACTACAAACTTAAGTAAAACTGAAAGGTATTTAGTAAAATCCACGATCACGTCTGTGTCAAGAATAGAAATATAGAAGAATCATCCAATGACAGTATGCCCTGTACTTCACTGGTCCAAAATAACATTTGTAGATTTACTTAACTATCAATAACATTGCATTCATTTGAACTTTTATCATCTTTTAAATTTTTTTAAAAAAATTCACTGGCCAACAGGACCATTGCAAACTTATCATTTAGTGGTCCTGATGAATTTTTACTTGTCAGGGTCCACAGGACCAGCGTAAATTTCTCACAGTGTGACTGCTGCTGCAATTATTTGCAGACATGCAACATCACAGACAAGTGGTCACCTATACACCTTTGTAAATGAGGACCAGGTACAGACACTATTGTCATATCCAAGCAGACCACTGCTCATTTCAAAGTCATGGACATAATTTTGGGATAAAACAACCAGACAGTACAGATTGTTACTAGTCTCTGACCAGCTGACTAGAGTCTAACCACCCTGGAGATCTGCTACACATGTTGTTACCTGGGTTCAGGATCTCTCTGCCTACAGCCAACTCCCTGCACTGACCCTTGGCCAGCTGACTAGAGTCTAACCACCCTGGAGATCTGCTACACACGTTGTTACCTGGGTTCAGGATCTCTCTGCCTACAGCCAACTCCCCGCACTGACCCTTGGCCAGCTGACAAGTGTGTAACAACCCTGGAGATCTGCTACACATGTTGTTACCTGGGTTCAGGATCTCTCTGCCTACAGCCAACTCCCTGCACTGACCCTTGGCCAGCTGACTAGAGTCTAACCACCCTGGAGATCTGCTACACATGTTGTTACCTGGGTTCAGGATCTCTCTGCCTACAGCCAACTCCCTGCACTGACCCTTGGCCAGCTGACTAGAGTCTAACCACCCTGGAGATCTGCTACACATGTTGTTACCTGGGTTCAGGATCTCTCTGCCTACAGCCACCTCCCCGCACTGACCCTTGGCCAGCTGACTAGAGTCTAACCACCCTGGAGATCTGCTACACATGTTGTTACCTGGGTTCAGGATTTCTCTGCCTACAGCCAACTCCCCGCACTGACCCTTGGCCAGCTCCACCAGCGTGGACACAGACAGCTGACTCGTTCGTCTGCAACACAAACACACATTTCACAATCTTGTCCCCCATCTATCCAACCAAAATCCATCACACACCTTACATATTACCCACAAAGCTTATAACACAGCAGCCTTTACCCTGATGTATGAAACTAGTATAAAATTTGAATTATTTATAAAACAGTTGAACCTCACTTATCCAGACATTTGCGTTTTCTTGCGTATTGTCTCGATGAATATATTTCTGGATATGTGAATCTCGTCTGTTACCTTCCCTTTGAGGTGGGATGTGTAGTGATGAATTGTAAAAACAACATCATCTAGTGTGGTAGCTGACTCGTAAGTGGGACTTGATATTTAGTGCATATTTTACACTGAACTCATTCTTCCCTTCATTTATCCCTGTCCCTGGATAAATGACTCATTTTATGTAGTAAGTATTTTGTTTCACATACATATTGTCCAGTAAGCAAGGTTTCTGGATATCTGGGGGGCGGTGAGGTAGCCTAGTGGTTAAAGCTGTCACTTGTCTCGCCGAAGACCCAGGTTTGATTCCCCACATGAGTACAATGTGTGAAGCTCATTTCTGGTGTCCCCCGCCATGATATTGCTGGAATATTGCTAAAAGCGGCATAAAACTCAACTCACTCAATCTGGAAATCTGGTATAAAAAAAAGCAGGGTTTCACTGTAAGTCCAGTTATTGCAACTATCGATTGCTATTCATACTATCAGGCACACTATTGTCATTTTTCACTTTCCTGTTGATATATTAGTATCATAGGGAAGTTGACTGCAACATATCAACAGCCTGTAACATCATTACTGTCCTAGATCAGCACTTACTTGGTTCCATCTGTACACTTGATGACAATGGCATCTACAATTGGCCGCAGGAGATTTTGTAAACGCTGCTGTTGTTGTTTGTCTCGGCATGGCGTGTATGATAACATGGTGCGCATAGCTCTCTGTAGATTAGAAACTCAACATGTATCACAGGTTCCAAATTAAAGTGGTATTATTTCAAGAAACACCCTCAATCTTAATTCATAACATTAGGATTATTACAATGATCCTGTACCTTTCATGCTAAATTTCCCACATTTATTATATAATAAAAAGGGGTTAACCAAAGAATTATTAAAGAGCCTAATTTATTATAAGCAAGTCATAGACAGGTTATCATTACATGGGACCTTTGCTCGATGTAGATAATAAATCTTATCCAAGATCAGCAGATCCTGGGACACCCAAAGAAGGCAACTCTAAGAAACACTCCATGATGTCAAGGACCAACACTGCTCCACACCACACTCTACAACCACAACAGAACCTTAACTCAAAAACATAAAGCACACGATAACACGCTGCGCAGTGATTCCAACCCGAAAGTGTTGCAAATAGTAGTTTCAAGGATCAAATTAGTAGTTGGACCACAATTAGTAGTCAACTAAATACTTATCATCATGATGGATTCTGAGAAAAATAATATGACACTAATCAAGAGTGAAGCTTTAATTTCACATACCCGTTTCGTATAATCAAATGGAAGGAACGGTCACTTGGTTAAATCATTCAAATAGGATCATCATTTTTCCGCAGGTACACAATAAGTGGGTCAAATCGCAAAGGTATTGAAATCAGCTTCAGATTTCTGATATACAATTTCGCTAAATTAGGTTTGTTACTTGCAATGATTCCAGTTCAAATATGTCATTAAATTTGATGAATGGAAGGAAAGAAAAGTCTGAAGTTCGAAAATGTATTTAATCGACAAAAACATATGTTTCTGGCTATATATCCGAATTTTAATGACTTTTCTTCAATTTCGTAGAAATTCTAGTGCAATCGTATTGGCATAGTTTGAGGCTAAAATTCGTAGCGACTAAGATAAAATCATAGAGGTTGGCATCTCTGGCTGTGTATTTCCTCACCAAGCTGGCCACAAAGACTCTGTAGACGGGATCCCCACACATGAAGGCCAGAACCTTGGAGCAGGTGTCCAGCATCTGCTGGGTCGTGGCCTGGCGGTCAGGGGAGATAAGCACGCCTGAACGTCCCTCACCCATCCCACGAAGTAGTGTTGCGATGACTTCCTTGCTTAGATGCTTCAGACCAGTCTCTCGAATAGACCAGTTCCCGAGAAAACAAGCATGAGACAAGATCTTCTCCAAGAACCTGAATTGCAAAATAGAAACAGTCAGGCCACGGCAATAAAAGAATGTCTGTGCATGAAAACTGTACGATTGGCAACTATTACTGTCCATGTAAACTGATACAAAAATAAGGAAAAACTGGGAATATAACTTGCTTTCTTACTTTTCCACACATCTACATCTGGATAATGTTAAAAATTTGTCATAACTCCAAGAGAATGAAGATAACTGTCAGCGAGTCTGTTGTAGTCGAGTGAGTGAGTGAGTGAGTGAGTGAGTGAGTTTGGCTTACCACTACTCTCAACAGTATTCCAGTCATATCTTAGCATGCCAGGTTCATGTGGGAGGTAAAAGCAAATGACACTGAAAGTATTTTGATATTCTTGCTCATATTCCACATACCTGTATCCAAGGCTCTGCTGTGGGTAGGTTGTCTCTAGGAATGGGTTCAGCATGGGGGAGGCGCAGTTCACTCTCCTGTACAGCCTGGGGGGAAGGGGCACGGGTGTTGGGGGGTGCATCAGGGGGGTCAGAGTCTGCTGGAGTGCTGGGGAACCACAAAATTCACTTATAAGTAACTCTATGTTTAATGCTTTAATAACCAATACAAATACAAGTTCATACATACAGAGATGACATCCCATCCATATATTCTGTAGAAATGTATTTTTAGAGTAAACATTATTTCATACTTATCCTGACTCAAACCAATTGCTTGTTTTTCTCTCTGCCAGGGGTTCAATTTTTTTTTAAAAAGCCTCTTGCCACAGGGCAAGTGACTTTAAGAAAGTAACTTGTCCTGACTAATTTTCCACTTGCCCTGATTTTATGACATAATTATGATGATGTAATTATGAAAGAAGAAATCAACATGGTATTTGATGTTAATGTTTACTGGACTATTTATTGAAAAGTGACAAATAGCAAAGAAAGATAACTCTACTTTATTATCATTGAGAAATTTAATAGCTACATTTTGAGCAGATATGAAATTAAATCAAAGTTTATTTGCAGTTTCAAACCATAACTGGAAATTATCTAGTAGCCACGGACAAGTAAGATACCATTATTTGCTTGCCCGAAATGAAAACTGACTTGTCCCGGGCGTCGGGCGATGGGATTTTTTAACCCGTCTGCCCAAGATACAGTGGATACTATGTGTTATGCTCCCCGAGAACAGAAAAACATCTCACCTACTGTGATGCTCATCCCACGCACATGTCCTAACATGACCAGTCGGTCCATTTTTACTAAAGGCCAAAGTATAAGTCAGGATAAGTAAAACTAGGTGTTTACAACTAACTATATTGAACATATAACTAAATATATTGTCATATATCACACATGAAGGATTTCAAAACATACTGCATTCCAGCTAAATGCCTTTGAAGCAATTATCTAGAAAATCTAACTTGTGATTGTCAGAGTCATAACACTGTAGGAATGCCATCCCTGCATACAAGCTGAGTAACACCGAAGTTAAAACTTTAATGACTTCCATCAAAAGTCTCTCAAACGCCCAAACAGGAAAACAGCCAGGTTTAATTTAGGTTAGGCAGTATAGATCACATATAATGACAAGTTTCAAGCAGAACACTAGGAAATCTTACTTCTTTATTTCGACTGTCATTGTCTTCCACTGGGCTCGGCACAGGGGGCAGATGAGAGGTTCATTCTGTCTCCTACACTCCTCGAACCCTGCAAGACATACACACATGCTATAAGCTTAAACATATCATGCTTATTTCTGCAATAATCAATAATTGCAATAGTTGCTAAAGTAGGTGAATAATGTTTTAAGAATTGTTATGGTCGTGAAATTAACAAGCCCATCATGACATTGAAAACTGTACATCAAAATCATAATTAATTAATGTTTATGTAAATTTCCAATATTGAAACCTTAAGTCTACTAGAAAACCTGTACATAACAATGTAATTTTTAAAGTAAAATTGATATTTTTATACTTATCCTGACTCATAATCTTCTGCTTATCTCCCTTTCCCTTTCGAATGGTAGTGGAACACTTGAATGCCTTGAAGAGTGACAAGTAAGGCAGGTCACCTGACTGGTTTACGCGGGAAAGGGCAAAGGGAGGTAACTCGTGGGTGAGTGTATTTATACGTCTGGTTCGGGAACTTCAAGGGATTCAAGTGTTCCACTACCATTCGAAAGGGAAAGGGAGATAAGCAAAAGATCATGAGTCAGGATAAGTAAAAATATAATTCTATTCTGTTGTATATTTATTGCCCAGGGCTGATGATAAACACTACGACAGTCATAACTCCTATACTTTAACATAGAGGTAAGAAAGTCGTAGTGCTACGATTGCTTTGTGAAATGGGTCCCAGGTCACCGGAGTTGTGGAGACACTTACATATGGCTATACAGTGATGGTGGAGACGGTTGTGACAGCCGTTCTCACACTTCAGTAGACTCTCTCCCTCCAGCATTTCGAGGAGACAGATGGGGCATGTGTCCTCCTCTTCCCGCATACTGCTGCAACCACAGACCACATGATCAAAAACAGAGATGACACACACATAGATACTGCTGTAATCACAGACTGGCATGATCAAACACGGATATCATACACAGAGATCATGCATAGAAATCATACACAGAGATCATACATAGAAATCATAAACAGTAAAGGACATGGACACCAAGCACACATACACACTTCTGTAATCATAGACAATCAAGATCACACATGGAGATCATAGACAGAAATCATACACACATACATAATGGGGTAGCCTAGTGGTTCAAGCTTTCCTTCGTCACACTGAAGACCCAGGTTCGATTCCCCAGATGGGTACAATGTGTGAAGCCCATTTCTGGTGTCCTCCGCTGTGATATTGCTGGAATATTGCTAAAAGCAGAGTAAAACTAAACTCACTCACTCACTCACATACATACTGCTGTTGTCACACACTTGAAGAGAGACCCAAAACAGAGGTCAGACACAGAAAGCATCTCATATATAATACATACCCTTGTTCTTACAATGGCCACATTCTAAGCAGTTACACAAATGACATATCTGTCCTAGGATGGTCATCCCTGTCACACGATGACTCAATCATTTTGGAAATGTAAGATCTATTACTGAGAGGTGAGTCAGTCAGGGGAGACAACTCTTCACTCACTAACATTTCCTGATAACAGCAAGTATTGTTTCACATCTCATGTCTGTTTCACCTCAGCATGACGACATTGCTGATATCAGTAGGAAGCAAACTTTAATTCTCATCAGCAAGGAAACTGAGGAAGTCATGTGTTAAATTTAATTCAGTGTGGAATTAGAAACAGAAACTGATACCAAGATCCCAACAATATAGTCACCAGTCATCAGCACTGAGAGTATCGGGTCATAGCCAATACTGAATCTTCATTAACATTCATTTCCAACCCAATGCTGATCAGCTACAGCTAAGTGGGGCAAGGAGGATCATGAGGTAAGTCATTCTTTAAGAAAACTTTACGTAAAACATAAAAAAGTTTGTTTTAGCAAGTATAATTATTAAAATCTAAATATTTTAGACATTTAAATACTTACCTTACCTCATGGTAATATGCATATTACCTTTGCTCGTCCGATACAAAGATTGGAAACGTGATCGATAAGTATCCTGGTTGAATGCTATCATGAAACTAGTGATGTGTCGATCTGGAAGAACTATGCGAGGCAAAAACAAAGCAAACAACACACCGCGAAGACCGGACAGTAAGAAAAAACAGCCAACAGAGAGTAGAATTTTTTTATTGTATCATCGTTGAAGGATACAATAGGAAAACCTTAACGTAGCAAAACACAAAGAATACAGTAAGTAACTAAATCAGAAATATCCTATACACTTCGATACACGTCCAACTCGCAGTGCGATAAAGGATAAAGTGACGTGTTCTCATTGTCACATGACCAGGATTGGGGGGCGTGCTTCTGCTCGCCGGACGAGATTGACATGTCACTAGTTTCATGATAGCATTCAACAAGGATACTTATCAATTATGTTTCCAATCTTTGTATCGGATGAGCAAAGGTAATATGCACATTACCATGAGGTAAGGTAAGTTAAAAATTATATTTAAACTGTCAGAAAGCTTCATCACCATTTCATTTTCAAATCCTTGCTTGGAAACATAAGCCAATCAATCAATGATGATCATAAAGGAGTATTAGCATCATTGGATAGATAAAGCCATATTAAAGCCTGATCGGTGGAGCAGGTGTCAAGGCAAGAAATAATTGAAGGCAGCTCACCCCGTGTCACTCTCTGAGGGCAGACTGGTGTTTTCAGCTGAATTGTTGACAGTGTCTTCTTGTTGTTGCGCTGTTTCTTTCTTTCTCTCTTTTTCCAGTCGACGACTGTGTATACGGGATGACCGTCGGTCATGGTAGATTCGAAATAAATTTTCCACCTGAAGTGTAAGAGTATGTCTGAAGATTGCCAAAGACAAGATTGTTCAGGGGAGATAAATCTAGGCAAGTTTAAATGATGCATATGCCCATGTCATCCTCGATAATCTCCAGGGTATACGTTACTATCACTCTCCACTATACCCTGGATGCATCCACGGCTTGGCCCGATGATTTTATTACCTCCCTTGGCTGGCTTTTTATCCAATCAGGTGTCTACGTTGCAAGTTGAGAGAACCAATCACAACTCACATTCGCTTCTTAAATTATCTAACCTTTTAAACTTGGCAACACAATTGATGCAGAGATACTTTGAAAGAGGTAGGAGGAGTTCTTTTATATATTTTTTAAAAGTTTCAGATTTGTCAATTTGTCTGTATTATTTCTTCAAAAATCTGAGTGGCACTGCCAACAAACCTTCGCGACTGCGACTGCTATCTTTGTTGACACTGGCAAGTTCGGATGTAACAGCGGCATAGCTGATTGGCTACTGTGAGAATGCGGAGCCAGCAAAGGGAGGTAATATAATCATAGGACCAAGCCGTGGATGCATCCGGGGTATAGTGGAGAGTGATTGTAATGTATACCCTGGAGATTATCGCGGGATGATGCCCATGTGTGAGATTATCGAGGATGATGCCCATTGGCAGGTCAGTGCTCTACTTATCCTTGTTTGCCAGTAGTTGGGACAAAGCCTGTTCTTAAAGCACACAAAGATACCAGGGCCAAGTTTACCATAGATATACTAATATTTAGGCATTGTATTAACATAACATGCCTTAAAGCCCAATATTAAACAGTAGCTGTATAAAGTATGACAAGCATAGTAAGGGTGTAGCTACTCAATTAGTCCAGGGGTGGAAATAACCCATTGCCCGACGTCCGAGTCCAGTGTTTTTTCCAGTCGGGCAAGCAAAATTGTATATCACGCTGTACCAATGTCCAGTTGACTTTGCAATGTTAATTATGTTGTTCATTTAAAAAATCAACAAGAAAATCGGCCAGTATAGAAGAAAAATTATCAGGGCAAGTGATGTTACATGTGCCACTGTACCGGTGTACACTAGCAACTTTAAAGTTATTCCCACCCCTGTAGTCTCTTGACTGTCAATCACTTGTAACAAGGGATTTATCTGGGATTTCAGATTAGGTGCCCTTGCAACACCGTAGATATTGGAACAATTATCACATTGTGGACAATTTGAAATTTTCTATTTCAGTCTTTTAACTTTGTATACTGACATTTCCCGATGCAATCTGATGAGGCTGGGGTGGAAATAACCCATTGCCCGACGCCCCAGTCCAGTGTTTTTTTCTGTCAGGCAAGCAGATTTGTATATCACACTGTACCGATGTCCAGTTGACTTTCCAATGTTCATTATGTTTTAAAGTTATTTCCACCCCTGTGAGGGTAACACGGAAGTATATATACTGAGTGTGTACGTCATCAGGGAGCTTCTACTTACTTCATAGTTTTTAAGTGTCTTGCTCCAGAGGCAGTTGTCGTTGTGTCGGACTTGGAACACCCTCAGCATGACGAACAGCACGTGGACACAGTGGGGGTGACGTCCACAGCTGCAGGTCTGGGAACAGTAAGAAACTACTGTAACACACTGGATAACATGGTGGGACAGCTAACAACACACTGAAGATAGCGCAGGGATTAGGGCTGGCTAAAATGATCGATAATTGAAAATATCGTTGATGGGAAAAAAATATCAATGACTATCGATATGAAAATTGTTTTCAATAGTATCATGCTTAAACTATTGAGACGAAAATTAATTTTCAATTACATCCATAATACAGAAAGTTATGTCTGTATTCAAAGACTGCTTCTAAAGTATGTTCAGGACACTGTTTATAATAGTAATACATGAATACATGTATCACCATTCACCACTGATGTGAAATAGGTTGAGTTCTTTTGGAATTCTTCTTTACAATTTTGCTAACATTTACTTCTCAAATATTTATCGATAATCGATCAATATTAAGTTTAACAATTATTGATTTCTATGACTTATATCAATAGCCAGCCCTAGCTACAAGTCTAGTCATACAAGACACAAGATGTTTCCAGGAAATCAGGGAGGAGATAATATGACACTCAAACAGCTGGCAAAAATACACGTTCATATCTCTGGGTGAGATCCCTGTAGAAATGTAGAAAGTAGCTTCACTCTCCTACCTAAAGTTCCATGCGACCAGCACATCTTGCACAGTCCATTCAATATATTGTATATATATTTCTTTTATTTTTGACTGCACATTTACTTAAACTTCTTTGGTAGAATGGTTTACTGTCACTGAGGAAATATCCAAAAACGTGTAATACTATTTCGATTTGCATAGTGATCCTTTGTTTACATAGGTTATGCGGTTCCACATGCTGTCATTGAAGCCCGACGGAGAGCAAGTGATGCAGTCATTTTGATGTATACATATGTATTGTCATAAACTTTACTTTTGCAGTTTTAGATGAATATCTATATGACAATTCAAAACAATATGAGGAGTGCACCGAAAAGCTTGCATAAGGCTTTTGATTTACGAATATGTGCATTTGTTTACAATCAAGAGAAACGTCCGCTCACATGATATGCAAATTTGCCTGTGGAAGTGATGTTATGCTAAGTCATCACTGCGCCAAAGTGGTTTACCTGCGGTCCGATAATAACACGGAACTTGTGGTCTGGTGAGTCCCCGCCGATGAGGAAGGAATTTGGGCCCATTTGTTGGAGCAGGTAGAGCCGAACGCGCTGCACCCGCTCGATACGTTTCTTGGACAGCTCACTATTGGGGGCTGGGTCGATTAGAGGGTTGGATAGGTTACGCCGACCTGAGACTGGTTGACCCGGTGTGGGTTGACGAAACTGAAACAATGATGTTGATTTCCTGAGATGCTGATGCCATACTTAAGATGTACATTTATTATCCAATAAATTCATTTCATTAATGAAGTCATTGTTGATCATTGTCAATTGATCAGTCTTGAGAGTACAAAACGATTATCAATCAGTCAAAATTGAAAAGGTTGTACCTTCCTCAACAATATTTCAATAAATATTAACAGTGTTGAACTTGAATTGAATTGTGCAATGGGATCATACAAGTCTTCAATATCCCTGATGGTATTTGAACCTTCGTTTGACATGTAGTTTCTTTCAAATGCCAACACATCAATAAATCATCCACTACCCTCAAAGTAAATATATCATATCTGTGTTTTATTATATGCCTTTTGATCTGCAGGTCTCTACAATATAAACTGCAAAATGTTACTCACGGAATTGGAAGGTGAGACTTTCTTGCGAGGAACCCCAGAGAGAATCGGCTGTGAGTTGACAACTTGCTGCGTGAAGGCAGACTCTGCTCCGGGGTTCGTGTTTCTTCTCTTTAATCCACTTGATATGCTTAGGGGAATCTGGAGACATAACGCAGTAATAAGTCGATGTCAGTGAATGGTACAACATGGCTTCACTCACACCCAAGGTCAACAAGTAATTATAAAAGATAGATTTGTTTCCAACTTATTCATCATGTTAATTATCAATAATAATATGTTCGATTCATGGTTTAATCTTGTTAGTATATACAGCAATTCCTGCATGAGATTTATTCTCATGCCAGTCTAGGAAATGTAATTAGGTCAAGTTAGTTTAGTTTATGGATCGCTTAAATAGAGTAAAATATACTGAAATAAATGTTTATGCAAGTAGACATCACTATAAACTGCATCTAATTCTAGTGAGTGAGTGAGTTTAGTTTTAAATAATCGAGTCTGGACCAGACAATCCAGTGATCAACAGCGTGAGCATCGATCTGTGCAATTGGGAACCGATGACATGTGTCAACCAAGTCAGCGAGCCCGACCACCAGATCCCGTTAGTTGCCTCTTACGACAAGCATGAGTTACCGAAGTGAAGGTTCATTCTAACCTGGACCTTCAAGGGTGTATTTCATTCTAAGCAGCCACCAGTGTTTTCAGATAGACTTAAGGATCATAAAGGTTTTGTGTTTAGCTCGGCTCCCCTGCTCACCTGTGATGGAGCCACAGATGCTGCTGATCCGTTGCTGTGTCGCGTGTACTGTGGACAGAAAAACAAGCTTACAGTCAACATGGAGACAAATCTTTCAATACACAGATGCCAAACTGCATACTAGCATTTGTTTAGAAATCTGACCACGATGAACAGGTACAAGAAATGAGCTCCATCTAAACATACTGATTCAAATATAAAACTAGACATAAATCTGTTACGATGGTATGATTTGGTGGTCACTGACTTGTTCCATTTCATGCTATTGTGTCCCCTTTGTGTGGTTTGATCATGATGCCAATCACTTGATCCTAAATCAGATTTGACCATTTACAGATACAAGTATAAAGTAAGATTTTACGTTTTTGGGAGCATTTGATGCTGAATCTTCATTTGGTACTGAACACATTAGCCTAATGTTTTAAATGAAGTTTACTGTCATCATATACACAATAAATATCAAACAAACATGATAATATATCAGTTCTAAGTCCTAACTAAACCATGGAAAGGGGAGGGAAAAGACTGCTGTCTTACCGAAGGTCTTGTTTTCTTCTTTTCCAGCAGATCTTTCTTCCAGGCCGGCATGGACTTGAGTCGCTCTCTGATCCGCCCATCATCCAGTCGTTCTTCCTTGGCCAGGATGGGTGGCTTTTTCTCATCTTTCAAAATACTGAAACAAAATTAGGACTGATAATGACAGCCGCACAAGGCAGAGGTCAAGTACATAGGGATCATGCACATTATTATGTAAGCATATTTTTCCGGCTACCTGATTGGTCTAGAGGCGTCCACGTGAGCGTCAACAGAAAAGCATATTGACTCTAACCCAGGTCCGACCAAAAGTCATATTGACTCGAGTTACTAAAAATAGATTTTGACGTCAAGCTATGACGTCATTCTATTGTTTACATGTCACAGTATTGTTGACATAACGTTATTGGTTTGTAGCGAAAATAAAGTTACTTTTTTGGCTAAATGGACATGTTTGGGTTTTTAGAAGCCTTTTTTCGGTAATTACATAATAAAACAATTATGGACTGGTGATTCGGTCAATACCTGTTTTTATTGACCCTCAAAAAGCAATATTGACCTCATAACCAGTCTATAATTGTATATTAAATTCAAGAACAGACTACAAATATGCAAATTATGTCTAGTGCAGAATCATACATTCAACATGAGCAGGTGTCAACCTTAACTGAAGCTTTTAAGAAAAAATAGAAACATTGATAAATTACTTGAGTGTGTTTTAACATACTAATTAATCCAGAGTAGGGATATGATATATGGTAGAAGTTACTAGTACAACTTCTTTATTACACCGCTTTTAGCAATATTTCAGCAATATTACGGCGGGGGACTCCAGAAATGGGCTTTACACATTGTGCCCATGTGGGGAATAGAACCCGGGCCTTCGGCGTGATGAGCGAACGCTTTAACCATTAGGCTACCACACCGCCCCCAGTCTCATGCGAACACCATTATCAAGTAATACTTGGAGTGTGGCTAAGAAGCTCATGTAACCACTCTCTTTACACCATTCTTTACCAGTAGAGACTATTGGATGGCGTATAGACCACTCTTCATATATGTTTATGTTTCAAGAATTTTGTTATGTGCACGATTACAGAGAATTACCCTGTTTACGATCAAGGATGACAAGTTTAATGACCCTAATTATTCTTTTTAACTTTCTTTTAGAGCTCTTATTATGATTAATGACTAATATTTAGCTCTCTTAGCAGGTTTAGAGTCTGGTAATTCATGGGTCTAGCCCAACTGCTGGCATAAATCAAATGTACTCAAACTGGAAGGGTAGTTTCAGCCAAAACTGGGTAATTTTCCACTCATTAGACACCATTAATTGGGCCAAACTGTTCCATCATTTAACATCACAGCGAGCATGCTGGGTTATTTATTTACATGCTACATGTCTTCCTCTTCATCTTCTCACATTCCCTCTTCATCACTCGCATATTAAATGAAACAGATTTTCCTTAAAATGCTGAAAAAATTTACAAATCATGAATTACAACCAGACAGTAATCATGTGGATTCTGACATTTTTTTTCAGCATGTTCGAAACGGTTCTCAACTACTGAAGCACTTGCTGGGAAAACATTAGGTAATTGGTCTACAGCTGATCAAAGGATCACAACATCCCAGGTAGGTTATTAGCGTGATCGGAGGAGCAGTAATTATAGAGTGAGTGAGTTTAGTTTTACGCCGCTTTTAGCAATATTACAGCAATATCACAGTGGGGGACACCAGAAATGGGCTTCACACATTGTACCCATGTGGGGAATCGAACCCGGGTCTTTGATGTGACAAGATAATGCTTTAACCACTAGGCTACCCCACCGCCCAAGTAATTATAGACCCTAAATGGCACAGACTCTACATTATCACCTTCAGATGTATAAATTAAATACCAGGAACACAGAGATAAAATGTCATTTTCATGAAATGTGAAACAATGCACTTGTAAACATGGTTAATATAGAAAACATCTTGAGTGCGAAATTCAAGTTAAGTGTGACTGAAGTATTCTTTCGATCCAGTTACAAACTTCCCAAGCTTGGAAAACAGAGATCTCCAAACTGAGGCATGATTGGATATCTCTGAACTCAGGGATTGGGATAGGCAGGGAGCCATGGGCCATTTTGCACATTAGAATAAAAAATGGCCCATTAAAATTTTGAAGTAAATATTATACAAGGGCAGTGGCCCATTCTAATTTCAGAAAAAGGCTAATAATCCTGAAAATGGCCCATTGTCAAAGTTATCTATCCCAATCCCTGTGAACTATCAGGGTCCAGTATTAGTTTTGTAATTTTCAAAAACATTTAGTAATCATAAAACAGTTTGATTGACTAAATGGATTTTTATGTCTTCTATCAGTATCACCCAAACCCTTCAAAATGTGTCAAACATCCCATCACAGGACAGAAAAGTGAACCTTTATCCATTGATAACTCTTGTAAAAAAAGTGACGATACTAATTAAGTCAGTAAAAAGCCAAATTGTTGACAATGTTTCAAAACAGAAAGAAGCAATATATTTCCCATTATGATTACACTCTACTTTCTGCCCATATTGCCGCTCCTTTCTCAGGAATCTCACCTCCCTTTTCACTGAGATTGTCAATAACATTCTTTCCAATTTCCGCACCCTAAGGTTTACTTTGTGTTTGTTCGTTGTTGAAGATCTGTAAATAATTGAGCCAAGTCCACACAATCCAGTGATTGTGACAACAAAAGCATGAATGATTTGGGACTGCAGTTGGGATACGAGGATATGCACCAATCCAAGACCAATTCTTACAGGATCTTTACGAGTCATAAGCATATTTACCATGTTCACCACCAGCTTTTGATAGGGATAATTAGATCATTTTCATATCATACACTATGAAACAGCCACACACTACATATTTCAGAAAACGTTTTGTATGTAACTATTTTTGTAACACATCCCTATCAAAAGCGTAGTTAATTAAATTGTTCAACCAATTCGACATTTTTCGTCATCATGATCTACATTCAGTTTAGTAAAGGACACTGTAGGGACCAGGTTGCAACATGTATTAAATTGTTAAAGCTATGATACGTCTGGACTCATCAGCATTGTTCAGGATAATTGGCAATACATTGTAAATCACTAACACATCTCGGTATACCAGTCCCAAAGATCTGATGGCACATAATATTCATCAGTGTTCTGCCAAGATGAATCACAACACACTCTCCTGACAGACATCAAAACAAATTGAAAGTGTTCAGGTTAAAAAACATATTTCATCAATGCAGTCCAACCACTCTACATTTCTGTATCAGCAAAAATCGTGTCTCCATTCAAATGCAAACCACAATGATGAGTAATTCAATACGACAAACTTGTCAAACAGGAATGTGGAGAGACTATTGTATTGACAGGTTCTGGCAAGAAGGTGCTAAGTCCACTGACAGACTGAACACCTTCACAACTCTACCTGTTCCTACTGATCAGACGAGAACACCTAGACAACTCTACCTGTCGCTAAAATTCAGAAATTTGCCCAGGGAACTCCATGTTGACTGTAAGGAGATCCTCTATGAAGGATGGGCCTGTTTAAATGCAGCCCCAGAAAACCCGCCAGGTCACATCAGCTCTGAGTGTATGGACTACCTTGACCCTGATATTGCCTGCCTATCTACTGATCTCTCTGGGTCAGCTCCTCATCAGCTAGACTTTCTCAAAGTCCCTGAACCACATTATGTTCCTACTGCCTAGCCCTCCCTGCAGTGCTAATGCCTGAAATCAAGCAAGTCTAAATTTCCTCAGGTTCATAGGCTCATCTCATAGACTAACGCTTAGTCCCTGAATATATATAATTATGATAGCAACAAATAAACCCTTTTAAATTGAAAAGGAGCCCTAGTGAGTTGAGAGAAATCTAGACTTGCTTCATTTAGGGCTTTAGCATTGCAGGGAGGGCAAGGCAGTAGGGATAATAATGTGGTTCAGGTACTGTAACTCAGGCGAGCCTATCTCACTGGGACTCCTTTTCAATTTAAATGGGATTTTGTGTAACTATCAAAGTTATATACCTCGGTATATATTTACAGACTTAGTCTACTCATCTACATACAAGTAGAACATCCTCATTGCAATCTGGTTCTATTAATAGAAGGAGTGTCGTCTGCTCTTTTCACAAGTTTAACATCTACATTTAATGAATGCCAACTCATGGCTTGTAAGTATTTCAAAGGGATGGTAGATTGTAGATATCATCCATCCTGGTAGGTTGAAAAGAATTCATTTCCTTTGGGAGTGGCCATGGTGACAAAATTTATGAAGTGATCCTGTCAATCACACTTTAACGGGTTCAGTCTCTTGTCACTACCATGATCCAAACACCACAATACTTCTGTCCCAGCTTCAAGTAACATATATATGATTAACTGAAATCATATGTTGATAAGGTCAAATAAAAAAAATGTTGTGGTTCGACTACACCTCTTCAAAATTTAGGGTAGGTAGGTAGGAATTTATTTTTTATCTTTTATAGTAGTAAAGTACAAACTAATAACACATTTATCAACGTGTAATTGTTTATTCAATCAAGCTTGCGGCCATCATATCGACTTTCTCTATCAGAATGACCGATGTCTATCGGTGCTGGGAAAAAACAATGGTATCTGAAAGCTTATTTTATTCATTCCGCTTAAATAAAATAGGGTCGGTACCAGAATTCAAGTGTCGGTCGGGTAATCGGAATCACAACATTTTTTTAGGCATAACTTAAAAATTGAGATAGGAAGACACCTTAAGATCACAGCAAGAATATGTACTCATAACAGTCATAAAGCACTTCTCCAAAGCCAAATAGAAATCTCTTCGGTCAACTATGCTCAGCTAATAACAGTCAATATGATAACAGTACAAGCAACTGAAAATGATACTAAGAACTGTTTGTTTTTGTTTGGTTGTTGCACAGCCTACACTCAGCAATATTCCAGCTATATGGCGGGGGTCTGTAAATAATTGAGTTAACCACACAATCCAGTGATCAATAACATGAGCAACTATCTACTTTATTGGGATGCAATGACATTGTGTCAACCAGGTCAGTGAGCCTTACCACCTGATCCCATTAGACGCCTCTTCAAACAAGCATGGGTTGCTGAAAAATAATTCTAAGCCAGATCTTCACGGGTATAATAACCAACTAGGGCCAGTAGACTCAAAACAGACTGGCTGCTGCAGAACTACAGAAATAGGGGATGAAGAGCATTTTCTGTGAAGATGCCTTCTTAACGAAGATCTGCAACTGGAACTTTCACCATTCCTGCCTCAGTTATACACCCAATTTTCACTTGAAATACTTGAATAATTTAACTGTATATTTATCATGATGTCTGAAACTTTGAATATGGATATTAAACATAGCCTTACCAATTTAGCATGTTTCATTATACTGTGAAGTTTTGATGGCATGTATTGTACCCCAATATTAAGATTCTTGTAAGCACTGGCTTACATTTTTGCATATGTGATTCAGTTTTCCTCGTATTTTAATGGTGAGACAGCTTAAATATCGTCAAAGGTCCCTACTCTATGTATCTCTAATAACTATAGATTGCTGATCAAGTTTATATCAGATTATGGTTAGATTTACAAAAACGTGTAGTCCACAAAGAAATGTCACCAGTTCTTCCTGAACTGTATCTGTCCAAGAGTTCTAGATGATAGAGAGAAGCAGTTTAGTGGTTCGATCTCCAGGGCCCTTCTTCTCGCAAAGTTCGTAGCCCTAAGAATTCTTAACTTTGATCGTAGCCAATGTGTTAAGAGTGGGGTAACAAGTTCGTAGGGCTACAAACGTTTCGAGAATAGCTAGCCTGGTTGCAACATAAGATGGTACTTAGTATTACCCTGCGTGGTGCCCAGATTTAGGTAGCCTTACTATCGATATGGATCACAGAGAATGATAATTGTTAAATTTATAACGATTGATCATCAATAATATTGTAGGTGTAACTTTGAGCAAAAATGCAAACAGTGTCAACGTTGAGTTGTGAGAAGTTTAAGCTTGAACTACAAACAAAATAACCTAGTGTGTTGAACATAAGTTATAAGCAGACCATATTTTGTGCATTAATTGAAACTTTACCAAATAGTTCATGAAAGATATTATCAATGACACAATTTTCGTATCAATAATCATTGCTAATTCTTCCCACTGAGGATATTTTCGATAATCAATCTATTTAGCCAGCCCTAGCTTTAAGGAGATAAAATAAAGACTGATGGGCTCGAAGTCATATGGTTGAGTAGGGCATATGTTGAACACAGGCAGTGGGCCAGCACCACAAAACCAGCGTAAGTCCGGACGAGTACACATGGTACATGCAGCCATTCATCATGATTCATACACACATGTATGCGTACATAGGTGTGATAATCCTAAATGCACCATGAAATCCAATTTCACTTGATCTCACCATCTTTTGACATGTTCTTGTATTGACATCAGAGACAACGTGGCTTAATATATTCAAACTTTGTTAGGATAGGGATAAAGTATTAATAAATAGAAACCAAACCAGCACCTGACCCATTGACCCAAGACAGTACCCTGAAAGTTAAACATGTTAAGGCAAAGTACTTAGTGAAACATTAAAATGATAAGCACTCTGAGGTTGTTATATAATATCTTAAAGATTAATCTGGTTCAAACCGCTGAGATTGTCACTGTTTACTTCTACTCATAAATATTTACATTGCTGTACATGTATACATCAAGATATATGTATTTATTACCTATAGGGCGAAAATATAGGGGTTCATATTTATCATATGATGTCCTAGGGCAAAATATCACTTTCTACATGCGGCGAAGGCGGGTAGCCTGCCTGTGTTTGAAAGTAGATTTTGGTTTATTTACCTCAATTTGAGACTTCGGTAATAAACAGCATATTATATTTGTGCTCATATCATACTATGTTTACGACATTCGTGCCTAGTAAATATCGGTATATCCCTCGCTCTTGCTTGGGAAATACCAACATTTAGGCACTCGTGTAGTAAACATAGTATGACATGGGCACTGATAAAATATCCTCTATTTAAGTGGATTTCACATTTACTGTTTAAATTTAACATTCAAGTTGACATTGGTAACCATGTCATCAAACCACTTCTGTGAGACTTGTGTTAAAATGTTTCTGTGAACCACTTCTGTGAGATTTGTTACAATGTTTCTGTCACATACATAGTGTGTCTGTGATGCCAAAGCCATGTGTTCTTAAGCCAAAGTTTTCTGTATAAAACAAGTTTGTGTTCTGTGGTGCCCTCAGGTGTATTTTTAAGACTTGCTGGTTTGTGAAGGAAAACAGACTGTTTCCAGAATACCCAGAATAATCACTTGCTGAATTTCTTATCAGTGCACTACAACCACATAGTCATAGTCCAGGGATAGAAATGCAAAAAGTGTTCAAGCATCTAAAAATGATGTTCAGATGTGCCTATTGGAATTTTTGTGTATGTGTGCCAACAAAAATATTGTGCATCTATCCTTAGGTCTCATTTTTTAATGTCATTTCACCATGAGCTAAATTTACAGTGCACTCTGTCTAATTCAGACCGGCTTGGGACCGACTAAAAGTCCTAATTAGACAGCAGTCCGAGGTACACAGATTTTAATGCAGTTATCACCCTTTGACGAACATACAATTGTGCATGAAACACATATTACATGAAATGGATTAATAAACACTTTGTCGAAAGGATATTGAAAATCATGCAGTTGAACTCAAACGTTGAACTCAAGATCTATGTGTCGACTTCGAAGCGGAAATCAGAATAGAACGGCTATATATGTAGATGTGACAAATATCAATAAACGACGAGAACTGAGCCTTTCGCAAACACAAAATGTTTTCTTGAAGCAGTCCGGTTATACAGCAATCCGAGAAAGACAGAGTCCGAGTTGGACAGAGTGCACTGTATAAGGAGCAGCAGAAATTTAGACATGTTCCCTTTTCCGTTTTATTGATTCTTTTGATATTTAGGTCACCTTTGTCAGGTTATGTATCCACATTCATTTTCAGTGAATCATACAGCACATTCACATACTGCTGACATTTTCCAAGAGCTGCTTGCATACATCAACTTTAACTCGAGCATGTTCTCAAAATATCATTACAAGGTACTTCTATTCAAATAATGTAATAATTTAATTTCTATGTCAATGTTCATTCTAGGCCACGTCCTTGTGCCCACTAGCACACTAACAAATTGCTAGGTACATTGTAAAGTAGAAGCAGATCGTGTTGGCACACTCGTGAACATTTATACATAAATCTAAAATGCATTATGAATTTGTTTTCACTTTCAGGTGCAAAACTCCAAAACAAGTTGGCTTTGATTGTTACAAAATCTGCACTACCTTCTTTTCCTGAAGCCAGCTGTTATTGACATGAGTACTCTCAACTCCGGACATGAAGTTGTGTTACGAATGACAGTATGATGCCTATCAGTATTATGAGGAAACCTGTAAGTTCTGAAAAGTCGATAGCAATTGGTCTATTTCTTCCGATTTTTGTTGCTGTGGCCCAACATACTGACTTTCAAATGAATTCTTTCATTTTTTACGAAGAAGTGAGTGAGTGAGTTTAGTTTTACGCCGCACTCAGCAATATTCCAGCTATATGGTGGCGGTCTGTAAATATTCAGATCTGGACCAGGCAATCCAGGGATCAACAGCATGAACATCGATCTACAAAATTGGGATGCAATTTTTTATGAAGAAGGAAAAAGTTGAAGTGTGGTTAACGAACCCTGATACTGGGTATTACTGATACTAGCGATAGCCTATTATTTATTCCTTATTTTTATGAAAATTCATTAGTAATCATGTTAATTTAATATTGATCTTAACTGTTTAATATATGTGTTGAACAGATTTTCTATTTATTTAATCAAATTGTTGACCTACATGTATTGGAAAATGAAAAAGGTTAGTCAATAAACTTATGCTACGACTTTGTATCGTATCAAGATTTAGGGCAAACAAATCATAGTAATTTGACAAGACTAACATCTTGTCTCTGAACTTTGGAAGTTTAAAATTAAAATAAGATACAATGAAAAAGAGCCTACAGACTTTCTTCATTTTCAGAAACTGGTAATCTAGACTTGACATACATTTTCGGGCTGCATTGATATGTTTGTGTCAGGATCTGTACAACAGACCCACAATATTTATAACAAATGGACCACATGACCAAAGATTAGTGTATTTCCAATACATCCCATGGATTGACTTGCTATTAGTAAATTATCACATCAGTTTCTAAAGTAAATTGAAAAACACAACTATTCAATGAGACAAATAAATATCAGCTTTCCACTCAATGTCCAACAGGTTCAGGTTTAGGCTATCTGGAAACTGTTTTGTCAACAATTATTTATTTCACAAAGTTTTACCTGTGCATGGATTTGTTTGAACAGCTGACGGCAGTTAGACGGATGAGCTACGAGAAGGTAAAAAACTGTTGCCGCATGCGCCAAATTATAGCTAGGTAAATATTTTCTTTAACCACGAGCTTATGAAACTTTGCCATAATTGCTATCACTGCAGTAAACATAATCTTACATTGACAGTATACTTCCAAAATCATCAGTTCTACCTCATTTGAAAAAGAGTTATGAACATACAAGATGTTCAGTAAACAGATTGAACACTTAAATGGTGTCTGTGTGGGATAGATGTGTGTGACTTTAGACTTTGTGGGTTGAAATGTGGGTTCTAATCTCAGATGGGACTCAACGTTAAAATAAGGTACTAGAATCCGTACTTTACTCAGAAAGCGTAATCCCAAACATGAGATATGTGATATGACCACTTTCTAAATGGCATTGTATTTATGTGTATTCACAGCTTTCAGCAATGGGAGCCCTTCCAGTTGTCGGTGGGGTAAACAAAGTGCACAATCTTGACTACCAATTGTCAAACTTCCATTGTTGTGGAAGCTGTGGTGGCTGAGTGGGTTAGATCGCCGACTTTGTGTGCTGGCGATTTAGTGCCTCACTCTGAGAGAGTTGGTTCAAATCCTGGATGGGACTAAACACAAACAAGTACTAGAATCTGTACTTCACCTGAGACAGAGCAAACCCAAATAGAAAATGTTAAATCTGAAAGTAAGTCCAACGTTAGTCCTACCTGACAATATACATCAACTTGAAGTATCCATGATGCAAATGAAATGAACAGATACCATGATAACACCATTATTTTTCAAAATAATCATTTCTTAACATACTTCATAATGTTTATCATGTTTATTCAATCAGCTGCTGTTCAACTTTTCTTATACCATGAGTCTGTGACCATTACTCTTTCACTGCTATGACGGCCTCCGAGAGAATCTGACAAGATCGATGAAGCCTCATTTATCAAGGACAATATCAGCTTGTAAACATCACAGCTACTACATGTCTCACTGTTGAAATCATGAAAGTTATCTTGATATTATTCAAATAATACAACAACTTATATAAGTTCAATTTTGATAAAGTACCAAATGAGTTCGTGCATTCCCAGCGAGGGTACATGGAAAATGTTACTTATTCGCTTGTAAGTGGGGTACATTGAACATAATAGAAGAGTTATCTCCTCAGCCAATCAATGAAAACGACATTTATGTGTGAGGCAAGATAAATATATTATATTCCTTATCATTGCTTATGGCCATATGAACCAAAGAGGAAGTGAAAACTGCAGCTATTTTTGCCATTTGAAAGATATCATGATATCCACTACGCAATTTCTTTTTTATTTTCACATTTATGCAATAGGAAAATTAATCTAAAAATGTTTTGGTTAAATCCTGTTATTCTGGGTGTTTTAAGCAGGAAATCCTTACCTACCGGTATATTTACAATATGGAACACTGAGGACGTTTTGTACTAGATTGTGACCTGTGACAAATATGTCTCATGCATATATTTTTGCATTAAACATATTAAACATTGTGTCTGAGCAAAAAGATCAGGTTACACTAACTTACAGAAGCTGAGATGTCATTTGACTGACATTACACGATCGCAGGAAAAGAATTCATATTGTATTTTATTCATAACAAAATTATGGTTCTGTACGAGAAATTTGTTTTTCAGTAACACAAGAAAAAAATTGAAGAATGAGGACTATTTTTATGGATATATACTTCTTTATTCTATATAGGCAATGTTTCGATATAGATTTTAATGCCGTTGTCAAGCAAGTGGTGACAATTGAATCGATGTCGAAACATCGCCTATACAGAATAAAGAAATTGTATATCCATAAAAATAGTCCTCATTCTTCATCTACCCAACTTCTAGAATGCCAATTAAAGAAGTCATTACAGAAAATTGTTAATAATTTTATGTGTCTTGATAAACATCAGTGAACTGAAATATAATGTGTGTTTTCTGACATTGTTAAAAGTAATGGATTCAAAACATGAGTCATGTGACAGGTAGGTTCCTAAAAACATATGTCGTTTTGATGTGTCTACGACTGAGCCGTTTTTCTAACCTGTGGCCTCTGGGGACTAAGGACGTCTTGGCCGGTTTACAGTTGTGTTGAATGGGTAAGCTACTATACTATTCAATAGAGTAAGTCTAACAAGATGTCTTTCAGTCTCCAGTCCCGTAAGCTCTGCTTACAAAGCCTGTGTACATTAACGCAAAGATCCATGGAACATGTCAAGGGCCAGGTTCAGCCTTGTATACTGAAATGTTTTGGCACTGACTACCATTAATACACAGTGCCTTTCAGAAAAAGGGCAAATGTAATATATGTTCTATTTTTGTTTTCAAGTATAATCCTAAATATAACATATATGACAGCCAGTAGTCAAAAAGCCTGTAAAAGGAGAAATTTTGACAAATAGTGACACTAAAATATTTTAGAAAAATTACATTTCCTGAACGTCAAAGCAATGTATTCTACTTTTGTATTGGGTAGTCAAAGTAACTTTGAGAAAAAATGAAAAGAAAGTTCCACAGAAATATTACTCTAAGATCCTGAACAATCAGTCTAACAAGCATGAAGCTGAGTCTCTTCACATGTTTTGGGTACATATTTGCAAATCAATTTAACGACCAGCAGCATCAGTATTGTGTTTGTAGGCCTCTGCAGCTTGGAGATTTTCCCCCATTCATTGATTCAGAACCCTTGAATTTGAGTGAAATCTGTTAAGATTGTTACTTTGTTATATTTTGTTACCGAGTAGACATCTGACTTCATAGCATGGTGCCATGTGATGAGGCAGACAGCAAAAGTGTCTCACAGCCTAGAGTAGCTTCCCTCTGATAAAGGGCAGATACTCAAGCTGATGGACAGCCTCAAACAGCAAGTAGATCAAATATTCAGGTGTGTTAATTAGTTTGCCCTCTTTGCCCCACCCCTGAACATAAAGTGCCAGGCAGGTGGGAAAATATTATATAGCTGCCCGTGAGCAAGGAAAAAAATCAGGGGTGTTAAGTTTAAACTAAGAAGATATATCAGGTCCTTTGAAAATAAATTGTACTTTCAGTTTATTAAAATGTCTCAACCATAAGAAGAATAGGTACTGAAAACAACGATAAAAATTGCAAAATACAAGCAGGGAAACACAAAACACAAAAATGGAAATTTAAGGGTAAAGTAAATTTTGGAATTTGAACAACCAGATTATGTGCGGGGAATTGTTAGTTTGTCTCTATGTAGTAATGCTACTTTCTCAACAAACATGTTTCAGATTGAACTATGTCCCTTAGGCTTAGTGTTATTGTCTGATAGACAAATCACTGAACCAATAAAATATTATAAGACTAACATGTTATAATAAAGCAGAGGCTCACAAAACATAAATCATTCAATCCTAATATAGAAAATCATAAAACACACTTGCGTGGTAACCTCTGCGTATCAGCAGGAACATGCATTAAAACTGTGCACACCTGCAAATGTTTCATACACAATGCTTACACATATTATTATTCATGTTGAACTTTCACAAAGTGATCTTATCCCTACAACGATGGTAACTAAAATACTATATACCCTATATTTTCAAATCAGCACAAATGCACTTAAATGTATACATTTTCATAAATAATCATTTACTATGGTAATTGCTTATCATTCATAAATTTACTGTTAATCAAGAAGTTGGCTGTACGTGAACTTCTGACTGGTTCAGCAATATTAGTCTTGCTGTAAGTAACAGCATGTATGAACCATGTACATAGAGACTGTCATTTTTGAACTGCTATGCAGTAAAACAAACAACATGCCTCTGTCAATACGCGTGGGCTTGCATGATTTAAAGAGACAACAGTGTCCACCATGACTGCGATGACAATGGACGGAGACAATTTCTTCAGTTGCGATCAATAATGACAGTGGATGCAACGTGCTCCTCTGGCATCGGCGCCATCTTCTGACAGTTCTATAGAAAATCAGATTAGGTGCCGCGCTAAAAATAGATCTAAGACAAGATGGATTTGGGCAATCTTTCCTACCTCTCTGAAGGGCTGGTGGGGTTGAGATCCTCTTCAGTCGCCTCGTCTTCTCCATCTTTACTTCTACTTTTAACGGGTTTCAGACGTTGCCTCCAATTGTGAGGGCCCTGGAAATCGCCATCCTCCTCCCCCAAACTGCCAGGGTCGCCAGTAGCAGCCCCATAATCCGAATCAGGCAGCGAAGTTGAGTTGGCGGGGGAGGCCATGATGAGTTCTCGAAGATGTCATGTACATCCCACTTCTAAAATGCGAAATTCTTTCTGACTGACAGCTTTAGATTTATGGTCCTGGGGTTTTCAGAAAGATGACATTCAAATTAAGCTTACAAATGTTGTTTTCCATGCGATTGATGTTACACGACCACAGATTTCCTAGTCCAAAAATCTTCTTCCGGCGGGAATGTTCTTGTGATGGTATGTTTATGCAGCCTCGTTCTCAGCAGGGGAATTTTTAGAAATACTACCATGGAAAAACTAGTTCTATTTTATTTTGTCTCTAAAGGCGTCTGATGAAAATATGTCTATATTTTATGAATATCAACAAAAGCTTAATCAATGTACATTTTTTAATAGTACATTATTGTTATTGCCCATATTCCTGTAACTTATTTGAATGGCATAATAGAAATAGGGAAGTACAATACTGACTAATTTATGGATATCAAGCTTTTATATTTTGTGAGTGTGAGTTCGTGGATTTGTCATTGATAAATTTGTTTGTATTGCATTTCCTTGTACATTTGTAGTAGCATGTGTCTTCATTTTCCTTTTGTAGCATGATGAGTGAATAATGCATACTGAATACTAGTGGCTGAAGAAATTTCTTTCAGACACTCTCACGGTTCTTCGATCAACATCATTTGTTATATACATGTGTTTTCTTTTGCCCCTCAGTTAATGTTTTCGCTTGGAACAATGCATCATTTCCCCAGCGATATCCCACCAACAAACTATTTACTTATGGAAAACCATCAAACAATATATTTATTTCTATCACTGACACATATTTGTCATTTTCGGTTATTTTCCACGTAACAAACTACTCAGGGTTATTTAACACTGTGAACAAAGTCAACAAACTATTCATATTTAAATGCTTAAACCATCTATGTTTTGGGGCACATTTCTGAACAATTAAACTATTCATTTAAAAACGTGTCTTACCCAAACCCTATCAACATATCAATGGATGCGGGGAAGGGGAGGTAGCCTAGTGTGTAAAGCTTTCGCTCGTTACGCCGATGTCCGGGTTCGATTCCCCAAATGAGTACAATATGAGAAGCACATTTCTGGTGATATTGCTGGATTATTGCTAAAAGTGGCGTAAAACAATACTCCCTCAAATGCCGTCGTGGTGTTGCCAAATACTCACATGCACGTACTGTTATCTGTGGAGTAAATTATCGTTTACTTATTTCCATTTTGAAGTGTTTTCTTTGTATATATAATGTAAGAAAAATGAACATAATTTATGTTTCTATGCTGCCTGGAAGAAGACGATGAAGATGAATGCTTGGTTAGATGACAATGACAATAACAGTGGTACAGGGTACACGGTGGTACAGGTACACAGTCACACTCTGTAACTTATAATGCGTTCAGAAATATCAACATCATCATTGTGTGTGTGATCTTAATTGTTGTCAGTGCAAGGGATCATGTTTAAGAACATTTGAAAGATATGTTAAGCAGAAGATAAGACTTAAAGGGTTTTATAATAAAATATATTTATATAATGTTCAAATATTACACATCACGAATAGCTAAAAATGTTTTGAAAATAATTCACTTTACATTGCATTTATTCGATACAATGTACTATTGTATAACGTTATTATCTCTCTTGAATCATTATTCGAAACGCTTAAACTAATATTAAACGATGACATGTAGGGTCTGCACTTAATGTAATATTCTATATGTCTCTGTTTTCGATAACATTTAAAAACAAGTTTTTCTATCAAATCATAGATTTCTTCGTATCACTTCAAGACCATACGATATTTTGTCAAATGGAACTAGTTGTCTAACAAGTAGCAGTGAAATTGGTCTCGCTGTGAATCGTGCTATTTTAAGACATGAGCAGGTGCTTGGCAGACTTCGTCATTGGATCTTTCGAAAGCTATACAGAAGCGCGTCTGTTTTCCAAAACAAGAAGAGGCATCATATGCTTTTTTGTATTTGGATAGTGTAATCTAAAGATGCGGTGGAAGGTCGACTGGCGGAGCGTTGCGCTGTCAATGATATTGCTAGCTGTCAGAAATCGTATCTGGCGCCTTCCACTTGATCACACGGAAGCCGGGTCATTTGTTGTTGTTGACAACAAGGTCACATGTCACTTATAGCTGGTCACTTTCATGGCCGAGCAGACAGAAATTGAACTACTGTTTTAGCCACCGAAATTTAATTGTTATAACAATTAACAGACCTTTTTACCTGGATCAACACGGGGAGTGCGTAGACAGGTAGGGACAAGTGTATGTCATTAATTACACGTTGACAATGTGAAAGAAGTCACACGAGTTAAAGTTTGCAAACTTTTCTTGATCCGTCCATAGAAATACATACGTGCAGAAAGCAGTTAGCATGTCGTGACCAGACTTTTGTTCTGTTCAAATTACTAGTAGTTTGCCTTTAGATCTTAACAAGATAGTTAAATATTAAGAATATTATGACGAAATATGTAATATTTTATCATCTTAAAGTTGTATATCAGGCTGTGTAAATTTTTCAGTGTTTTTTCCTTTTAAAAAATACCTTACAGCTATGTAATGGGCGACATATTACTCATACTTTTGGTGGTGTTGTTTAGTGACATAAACTTATTTGTATATCTAACGTGAATTAATTAAGAAGTTGTCAGCTACAGTGTACCTTTATGATTTTCTGTATTAGTCTCAGTAAGTAAAATCAATCCTAAATGTACATGCTTGAAATTTTGAAAATAAATTAAAATCTTGACATTTTTTTATCATAAAATGTTGTACATGACTATAGATACACATGAATAATATTTTAATATAATATTTTGATTAATTAAACAAAAAATCTGTTTAATCCAAATCTAAAATGTCTAATGAAACATTAATATCGACCCACATTTACTGTATGTCTGTAATACTTTCAAACATTTCACAAAATTTATATTTATGTATTATGAGATATTATAGCTGATTTACTTAATGTTTGATACTTGTTTTGCTGTTAATCTGTTCTATCCTGTGTACTGATTCTCCTGTATGTGCAGACATAGCTGGAATATTGATTGATGAGGGCGGTGTTAAACAACAAACCAACCAAACCTTATCAGCAGACTGAGAATGATATTTATGGCCAACTCTACTGTCTCCAGTACTGCTCACACTACTGCATGTCATTAAGGAATGTTTGGACAGATGGTTGCTTTTTGACTGACATTTTACTTCATAAATTTAATTTCTTTGCCGCTTGAGTGCTATCAGCAAACCTTTAAGAGTGACGTTTTACACAGTGAGCTCTCATCTGCTATGAAGTGTCACAAGAGTATGTATACAGTAGGTGGTCCACGTAACTAATATATGAGCATGAAAACAGACTAACATATGCAGTGTAGGAAAGATGTAGAAAATCTAGCCTGTCCACAGGACTGGCAGGTCAAATGTTTTACCAGTCCTGCCAAAATCTAGCCTGTCCTCCAAATATAAATAAAACACCTTCGGCAGTAAATATTCAAAAAGGTTATAATCATTATATATATTCCATTGGTTTGCTAAAATTGACCCGACATGAGGAAGGACTAGATATTTTTTTAACCTGTCCTCCACAAAATTCACCCGTCTCGGACGTTGGGACGGGCTATCTTTCCGACACTGACATATGTTATATTTGGGATTACACTTACACTTGACCACTTTCTAAATGGCATTGTGTCTTCATAGCTTTCGGCCGTGGGAGCAGGGGTGGAAATAACTTTAAACTTGCTAGTGTACTCCGGTACAGTGGCACATGTAAAATCACTTGCCCTGATAATTCTTCCACCATACCGACCAATTTCTTGTTGATTATTTAAATAAACAACATAATTAACATTGGAAGGTCAACTGGACACCGGTACAGCGTGACATACAAATTTTCTAGCCCGACAGAAAAAACACTGGACTGGGACGTCGGGCAATGGGTTATTTCCACCCCTGGGGAGCCCTGCCAATTGACTCTTGTCAGAAGGGTACACAAAGTACATGATCTTGACTACCAGTTGTCCGATTTTTTGTTCATTTTTGTGGAAGCCGTGCTGGCTGAGTGGGTTAGATGGCTGATTTTGTGTGCTGGCAAATATGTGCCTCAGAGTGTGGGTTTGGATCCCAGATGGGACACAACCTAAAAAATTACTGGAATCAGTACTTTACTCAGAAAGTGTAATCCCAAATATAACACCATTTTACATTTGACCACCTTCAAAATGGCATTGAGTATGAAAAGAGACCTTTTTTCATTTTGTACTTCCTATAATTGATTCACCTGAGACACATTACAGGAGAAGACTAATTTAATACATGATATTTATGCCAATAAAACTGCACTGTATGCAACATGACAATAAAGGTAACATGAACTAGGTGGAACCATGATAATAACGTTACCTGCACTGGGTGCAACCATGACAATAGAAGTTACCTGCACTAGGTGCAACCATAACAGTAAAAAGTTACATGCACTGTGTGCAACATGACAGTACACATTACCCACACTAGGTGCAACCATGACAATAAAAGTTACCTGCACTAGGTGCAACCATGACAATCAAAAGTTACCTGCACTGAGTGCATCCATGGCAATCACAGTTACCTGCACTGGGTGCAACCATGGCAATCAAAGTTAACTGCACTGGGTGCAACATGACAATAAAAGTTACCTGTACTAACAATACCAGCTGCGATGTAGCAATATTAACCTGTGTTAACATGGATCCCCCAGTCAGGTACACTACACCGACTCTTAAGACGACCAATCCTCATAACATATGTTATATTCAGGAATACATTTTCTACTCAACTCTTGTTTTATCCCCTTTTTGCCGAGCACCAGGGAGGATGTCAACAAATACCATCTTCCATGTCTGTTGGTTTGATATGAACCGAGAGGGAAATACCTACATGCTGTTCTTTGGTGGAGAGTGAGTGAGTGAGTGAGTTTGGTTTTACGTCGCTTTTAGCAATATTCCAGCAACATCAACGGGGTACACCAGAAATGGGCTTCACACATTGTACCCATGTGGGGAATCGAACCCGGGTCTTCAGCATGACGGCTACCCCACCGCCCATAAAATTACAGAGACTTAAATATTGGATGACAATGGTATAAAAGGTCAGGAAATCAATATACTGATTAGGAATTCTTCAAGAGTTACGACAACCCTGTTTCAGTCTTGTTGACATGGAACATTTAAGTGATGACTTACAATGTTCCAGCTACATAGACAGTAATGTGTGTAGTGAGATAAAACACTACACAAACTTGGCACAAACAATAAATTCCTGTGTAACACATTCCTAGATTTTGACTAAACTGTATTTCGCAATTCTGGGTTATACATGCGAGTATGACAAGTTTTCCAATCTGGCACCGGCACTGGTGCTAGAATTGATTCTGTAAATGTGGAACTGGCCTAGTAGAGCAATAAATCATCATTATTCTCCCCATTTCCTAGAAGCTGACAGGTACCTTTGTAAACTTATCTGTAACCACAGGCAATGTTAACTGTTTTTCAACTCCTGAGTATTTCTGACCTGTTCTGAGTGCAAACTATATTGCAGAACTGTGAATAGAAGCCTAGATAAGAGACAGGTCGTAATCTGTTGCCTTGACTCCTGGTGGGGAAAACTCTCTGGTCGGTGATATGTGACACCAGAAGGAGAGCCAACTGCTGGCTTGTATATTGGAATCGGATCATAACTCTCGCCCAGAGCCTCACCTGGTTTTGTAATCTCTTAAAGCTATTTTGACTGTCACTGACGGCATTAAGAGGTTTACACACTACCAGCGTGCACTTGAACTGAGTCTTGGTGAAGGCAAGCAGCGCTGGAAGTCAATGGAGGTCACAAGTGAAATTAAGTGTTTAAACATAAACGCTGTGTTTAACTTGGTTTTGATATTGACACAGAATATAAAAATATGATGTAAGAGTGTAACTCCCTGTGCCGAAATTAAAAAATAAGAATATTAATTTATGATGATGTCACATGCTGTTCGGATAGAGTTTTAGGCTCCTCGAGTTACATTTCAGTGGAGGGGCGGTGGGGTAGCCTAACAGTTAAAACATTTGATCATCACACCGAAGACCTGGGTCGATTCCCATCAAGGGTAGAGTGTGTAAAGCCCATTTCTGGTGATATTGCTGGAATATTGCTAAAAGCGACGTAAAACTAAACTCACTCACGCCGTTTCATTGGGTTGACAGGACCCTGCCTTGGGGGCCTATGAGACATTAGTTCTCATTAAAAGTCATTAAAATACTACATTAAACAGCAGTAGAGATTATATTACACAAAATTGCAGTGCAATCACCCAAGTATGTTTCATTCAGGCATTTATATGAAATGTAATCAGTCCAATATGCACAGAATATGTATACCATACAGGTCAGAATTGTCTAATCAAGTCCTACAACACATACACCCAGTATTATTCCTATTCTTCTTGCATAACCATGATAATACATATATTGATGCACATATTTCCTCTCTCTCGGCCCTTCCCCTCCCCCCTGTAACCTCTACCGCGCAGCGACAACACTTCCTTCCCCTCACTTATAACTGAAACCATTACTTCCCTGATACTTGAATGTATGTACACATATATATTCCCCATCTCCTTCCCCTTCCCCCCCACTACTCTCCTCTTCCTTCTCTATCCCTATGTATCTGTCCATGCGTGCGTATGTGTGTATGTCTGTGTGTACTTTCGAGTGTGTTTGTATGTCTGTGTACTTTCAAGTGTGTATGTATGTGTGTACTTACGAGTGTGTGTGTGTATGTATCTATGTGTGTGTTTGTATGTATGTATGTATGTTTTGTTGCTTTGTTAAGATGTTTGACCATACTCATAGGTTCACTGTGTACAGAAGCAGATATAAAATATAAACCTGATACTTCAATAATGAAGACATATATATCCACACTATAATTTTATGCTTATCAGCTTCTTGAAACTTCCATGATGAAATGCTCTCATGTTATTCTTTCTCATGATGGCATGCATATACTTTAACTATGAATTTCAAAGGACTTCGGATCGACATACAGAATTCTCCAGGTGGAGGCACCCAGCTGAGACAGTGTTTGTTATTGCTGTTCCTTGAGCACAAATACCACCAAGTATTAGTCATTCATATCATAAGCTGATCACAACTCTGATGTCAGAGGGTTTTGTTTGTGAACCAATTACTCGATCACAGCCTGACTGCCAGGAACCGTAACCTAGGAGTTGATGAACCATGGCGCTAGGATTTCCATCAGTGACTTGATATATTTGATAGTTTGTGTGGAAACATGATAAATGACAAGACCTGCAGAGGAAGAGAGGTCCAGGATAGGTCAGAAGAATATACACGTTTCTATGGTGAGGCCTTTCCTTAAGGTGATTAACATGAATTATATATGAAGTTCAGCAACTGCTAGACTAATCCATAGCTGGGTCAGTAAGCTGTGGAAGTGGATCCACAACTACCAGGCATATGTATGTATGTGGAAGTAGTCCTGTTCAACAAGAATATTATGTTTCAGACAGGCAGGGTAAATTGCGGGGTGTGCTGATAATCTAGTAATACCTGTATTACAACAACACCTGTGTCGCTATGACTGGAGAAAAACTTGCAGTGTTAGAATAAAGTGATTAAACTTGAGAGACACGTTTGTGGGATTATAAATGCACAGAAATAACCTGCAATAGCCTTCATAGAAATAACAATGGCTGAGTTGATGGCCTGTTGTGTTCCATATCTGTTTTGCTAACTTGACATTTGTTCTTCACTATTTTGAACACTATTTGAGTTGTAAGAATTGATCTTCAGTAGCCCATGCTTGTCGTAACAGGCGTCTAACGGGATCGGGTGGTCAGGCTCGCTGGCTTGGTTGACACATCGTATCCCAATTGCATAAATCAATGTTCATGCTGTTGATCACTGGATTGTTTGGTCCAGACTCGATTATTTACAGACCCCCGCTATATAGCTGGAATATTGCTGAGTGTGGTGTAAAACTGAAATCGCTCACACACTCACTCACTCACTAACTCACTCACTCACTCACTCAGTTGTAACATAGCATGCCCGCTTGGTTTAAGAGGAAGAGTGATGGTGTTTTAAGGGGTGGGGACCAACCCAGAGGGATGGAGTTGATGGATTCGAACTTGTGATCATACTATTCATACTAAACAATTATGTGCAATTAAAGCGACACAATCGTTTGATGCATTTAGCCATAAACTATCGAGTGCCATCTTAAATAAGAACATGCGAAGTTTTTGGAATATTGTCAGAAACAAACGCCCACGTTTGAACACCACAATTGAGACTCAAGTATGGACCACTCATTTTAAAACTCTGTTTAGTAGTACATATCAAACACCTGATGAGGAGGATTTTTATGATTATGTAGAGAACTTTGTAAAGACATTAACTGATCGTCTTATACATGAAACGATTAATGTATACAATAACCTAGATTTTACCCGAAAGAATGGACTTTGGGAGTAATTATTCCAGTTTACAAAAAGGGTAGTGCAGCGGATCCTACTAACTACAGACCTATATCTCTATTAGAGGTTTCTGGTAAGATTTTTTCCAAAATATTGTGTAGAAGGTTAAATGATTGGGCATCGGAAGAACAGTTCCTATCACCTGAACAAGCTGGATTTCGGAAGGGTTTTCGTACAAGTGATAACATATATATTATAAATGTCTTGATTGAAAAATATCTTTTATTACACAAATCCCGTTTTTACTGTGCATTTATAGACTTAAAGTCAGCATTCGACTCGGTGTGTCGAGATAGCCTCTTGTTCAAACTTTGGACAGGGAACGTTAAAGGTAGAATATTTAGGATTCTAAAGAATATGTATGAAGATGTCAAAGCTTGTATTTCTCTTAATGATGGGTATACTAGTACTCCATTCTTTGAGTGTTCATCAGGTGTTCGCCAAGGCTGCCAGTTGTCTCCCTTTCTGTTTTCTTTTTTTATTAACGATATTGTCGATTTCATGGGTTCAGATGGTCAGCGATGTGTCAACTTAGGTGTCATAGAGTTGTTTATTTTGCTTTTTGCGGATGATATCGCTCTATTCGATATGACTGTCAACGGGTTACAGAAACGTCTAGATAAACTACTTTTATATTGTAATAGATGGAAACTTAAAATAAACACTGACAAAAGTAAGATAATTGTGTTCAGGAAGGCCGGACGACTTCGCAAATATGAACGTTTCAGTTTAGATGGTTCACCTCTTGACATTGTACCCACTTATAAATATCTTGGTATTCATTTGTAATCATCTGGAAGCTGGTTTGTAACCCAAAAGATTTTGTCGCAGCAAGCTTTGAAAACTTTGTTTTCTTTAAAAAGTGGAATCCATATGTTTACTAATTTGCCATTTAAGATGTGCTATTAAAACTGTTCGATGTGATGATATTACCTATATTGATGTATGCTACGGAAATTTGGGGTTTCCATCCTTCTCAAGATATTCTTAATGTACATGATAAATTCTTAAAGTAAATATTGCATCTTCCAAGAGGTGTTCCAAATATTTTAGCTCGTGGTGAATTAGGTCGTTATTCAGTGAAAGTAAATCAATTTGTAAGAATTATCAGTTTTTGGATATGGTTGACTCAACAGAATGACAATATAATTTTATCAAATGCTTATCTTTATCAATATAGACTAGCAGAAATTGGAATACCTTGTTGGGCGTTACAAGTAAAACAGCTATTAGACAAGTATGGTTTTGGATATGTATGGAAAAACCAACTAGACTTAGACCTTTCATCTTTTATAGGAACCTTTAGAAATAGATGTATTGATATAGATACACAAACTTGGTTTACACGTATTCATTCTTATCCTAAACTGAATTTATATTGTGACATTAAACTTTCTTTTGAGAGAGAGGTGTATTTAACTTGTCTGGATGTACCAGCTTATCGTAAGGCTCTTAGTATATTTCGCTGTTCAGGCCATCAGTTAATGATAGAGTCTGGAAGAAAATATTGTCTGACAAGAAATTCTAGATTATGTCCATTTTGTGTTATACCTGTAATTGAGACAGAATATCACATGTGTTTGGAATGTCCTTTTTACTAGAATCTCAGACATACAATTTTGCCTGAGTTCTATTGTACTCAACCTTCTTATGATAAACTGGTATTACTTTGCACATCACACGATTCAGGTATTTTAAATCGTTTAGCGAAGTTTTTGTTGCTTGCATTCAAACAACGTAACAATTACCTTAACAAAACTTTACAACCCATTAAGTGTATGTTTATTGATGTATCTTGTACAGTGCTATGGCGCTCCAGATTTTCCACTTTCATGATATGACTCATTTAACTGTATAATGGGCCTGTGGCCCCTTTATTGAATAAATCAATTACCAATTACCAATTCATAGATTTTGGGATGTTATCTTGAAATGAAGGACCCGAACCTATCTAGTCAGCATCCGAAAATTCAATCAATCTGTGACGAACACTTCTGAGATAACTAGTGTGAATATATATAGTTTTCAGTAGATTTTAGTGATGAAGAATGTAGACAATTTTTTTTAGGGATATACAACTTCTTTGTTCTGTATAGGTGACGTTTCAACATAGATTCTATTGTCGTTGTCAAGCGTTGTCATTAGAATGAATGTCGAAACGTCGCCTATACAGAACAAAGAATATCCGTAAAGAAAATTGTCCTCATTCTTCATCTCCTCAACTTCTAAAATGCCAATCCAAGAAGGTTATAGTGATGTAAATGGACTTTTGTTACTAGACCAAACAGACTTTTATAAGACTCAAGCTTCAGATAAGTGGATGAAGTCAACTTTGTTATGTTGAAGTTTCATTATTGGTGGGTCAACATGGTCAAAGAGTTTGGTTCCCAGCTATCTGGCACACACATGTTAATTAATGTTATCACGGATTTCCCTGAAAGGTAGTTTGGAAAAATAGTGAAACATATAGGTGATATCACTAGGGGACTGTTTATAATTTATGGCTATGGGGGTTGATGATGATGTTCATGGAGAAGCATGTACAATGTGAGTGACACCCCCCGTCCCCGTAACATGTACAAAATAAGTGACTCCCCCTGCATGTCATGTACAAAATCAGATCTAAGCATAATTTTAAACATATTTTTATGTACAAACCTGTTCTCTTATTGGAATGTTCCACTGATGAGCGTACATTGTGCCATTGACACTACATTGTATATTATAATGCCAGTGAAAAGATGTGGGATAAATTAATTCTTTTAGTGTATTATTTTCATTACATGAAAGGATATGGTTAATCAAGTTTGTTTTCTCCTTAAGGTAAATTAACGGCATTAAATGTGGCAATAATTGAGCATCATCATAGACATATGTTATAAATTCACTTTACCAAATATTTACACAAATTATTATCTATCTTTTTGTTCTGATGGAACTTGTAATCAATATTCTTCAGCTAATTATGCTAATAGTATCTCTGAAGTGAAGCAGTTTTGCGCATCAAAAGCAGCATTTGTAATTCCATTATAACATCCGAAGTGAGGATGTTTATGTAATATTATAGTATCAAGGACATGTGCACTGAAAACATCCCGCAACACGAACACAGTCTAGCCAGGCGTACACATCACCCATGTTTTATTAATGCCGTCTTTTTCTTTCAGGCTCGTGTGTGATGTGAGCGATGCGCTGCCCGACCTCTCGTACTTGAGCAGCAGCGTCTGTGACAGCGTGTCAGCTTCATCATGACGACTCGGTGCTTGATGGCGTTTGATTACGCTGACTGGCATGCACACAACGTGCTACAGAAACAGTCCCAGGTAAGATGGAATGCCAGTGGGTCAAGTTCTTCATCTGTCTCGCATTGTCAGGACATGTACAGAACTGGAGATCATTGCCTCCCTGAGTCTCCTTGATTTATGCACCGAGAGGTGACAATGAGATATTTATCATAGACACTCCTCAATCTCTTCCATGTGCTAGCTGAGGAAGGGATGGATTATATTTCCCTGGGCACACTATGATATATATATATATGTTTCTAAAGAGAAGTTAAAGGACACTGATTCTTTCACATTACTGTAGCCAATCTGTCCAATGTAAAGTGGAACAATTGGGTTCTTTCACTTCGTTTTTGTTTCTATTAGACTTTCCCTTGCATCTTTATCAATTCTTTCAATTATTTATTGTGGAAATAGTGTAGGCCATCAGCCCATGACTACAATACAATAATGTTTTTCATGTTTATCAAGTTTTTGCAGCCTTGTTATTTTCCCCATTCAAGAGTTGAACCTTAATGGTGGAACGTATGGTTTTCATTTCAGGAGATTGTTTCAAATGCCTTGAACACCATGCCATGCACATGTAAATAATATTTTTACATTAAATTTAAAGAAAAGTTGGAAATAAAACAGGAAAAATACATGTTTCAGTTGTTTATTAAAAATTATTTTAAAATAAAGAAAGATTACTCAGACTTCAAGGAAAAGTATGTTTATTTTGATCACAACCGATTATATCAATTATGCATATACAGACATACATACCTGTGTGTCAGCATTCATACACTTTCAAACCCTAACTAAAGTTTACATCCAACAGTTTAACCACATCTTTGGGTTTACCTGAAACAAAAACCTTGTAACTATTTATGCCGTTTCAAGATATTAACACTTTGGTAGCGCCAAAGTCTTCTCCAGACGTAAACACAGAAAAAAGTATTCATTGCAAGGTTTGTTACCTCCACCCAAACCAATAAATTGGTGCCTGAAGATCTCTATTACTATGGCAACATGCCAGTTTCCTGGTGAAGGTGTGTCTTGGTTTGTGTAGCTGTGTAGACACTGAATACTGACAGCTCTGGCATCGGGAACCGGGAACCGGAACACAATAGCATCATTCCACAACTCCCCTGAGGGGAAGCCCACAGAGATATCTGTTACCCCAGCCTATCTCAGCCTCCACTGTTAGCAAATGACATCTCAAATTCAATTTGACTCCCTTACACAAATAGACTAACATTTGCATCTGTGTAATCTCTTACTATGATAATCTTTTCACCTATGCTGTTTATGTGTTCATATCTCTTATGATTTGTAAGTCTATTTCACCAATCTAGACTTCCCTATGTAACACTAGGCAGCAACAACTGAACTATTCATGGTTTATACTGACATTTCTGTTTTATGATTTATAAGTCTATTTCACCAATCTAGACTTCCCTATGTAACACTAGGCAGCAACAACTGATTTATTCATGGTTTATACTGACATTTCTGTTTTATGATTTGTAAGTCTATTTCACCAATCTAGACTTCCCTATGTAACACTAGGCAGCAACAACTGATTTATTCATGGTTTATACTGACATTTCTGTTTTATGATTTGTAAGTCTATTTCACCAATCTAGACTTCCTATGTAACACTAGGCAGCAACAACTGATTTATTCATGGTTTATACTGACATTTCTCTTTTATGATTTTTATGTCCATATCAGCTATCTAAACATTCCTGTGTAACACTATGCAGCAACATCTAAATTATTCATGATAATTGTACGAAAACCTGGGTGCTGATGTACAATGCGATCCAAGCCCTAGGGTGATCGTAACTCCAATCTAACTTAACATAGACTTGCAACAGACGTAGCACTATGGTTGTTTTGTACAAAGGCACCCTGGTTAATTAAAGGGGCAGTGGGGTAGCCTAATGGTTAAAGCATCCATTCGTCACACTGAAGACGAGGGTTCAATTCCCCACATGGGTACGTGTGAAGCCCATTTCTGGTATTCCCCTGCCATGATGTTGCTGGATTATTGCTAAAAGTGGTGTAAAGCCATACTCACTCACTCACTCACTCACTCACTCACTCACTCACTCACTCACTCACTCACTCACTCACTCACTCACTCACTCACTCACTCACTCACTCACTCACTCACTCACTCACTCACTCACTCACTCACTCACTCACTCACTCACTCACTCACTCACTCACTCACTCACTCACTGTTTGGTTAAAATTCTCAAATATTTCCCATAGAGTGTAACTCATCACTTATCATTTGTGTTTATCATTTAACTTTTGTATAGACATAATCCAAATGTTGACACATGTTAAGTGTATCTCACTTTGGTAGTTTTGATAATGAACTACTGTTTCATTCTCAGTTCCTGGGTATTATTTGCTTGTTCAAACTATTCTGTCATTCTCTGTTGTTGTTCACTCATCAAGCCAGAGGTTGGGTTCATTTCCCTATATGGGTGACCTGCCTGGTTCACAGCATTTTGGAGATAAAACAAGGACTGTTTGGCTGAGAGTCAGTACACTGTGTCTGAGTGGGGCAGCCATGGTAAACTGCAGCATGGTATCCCAGGGGACAAGCACTATAAAACCTGAATACATTGATGACCTGGTTTGGATTTCTATCTCTTGGGGAGATTGTAAGAAGCCAATTTCGAGTGTTCTCCGCAATGCTATTGCTGGAATTTTGCCAAAAGTGATGTAGAACCATCATAAAGTGTACCTATCACTCACTCACTCACTCACTCACTCACTCACTCACTCACTCACTCACTCACTCACTCACTCACTCACTCACTCACTCACTCACTCACTCACTCACTCACTCACTCACTCACTCACTCACTCACTCACTCACTCGGGGCGGTGGGGTAGCCTAGTGGTTAAAGTGTTGGCTCGTCACGCCGAAGACCCGGGTTAGAATCCCCACATTGGTACAATGTGTGAAGCCCATTTCTGGTGTCCCCCGCCGTGATGTTGCTGGAATATTGCTAACAGCGGCGTCAAACCAAACTCAGTCTGTCAGTCAGTCACTCAATCACTCATAAAATGTGGCCCATATGAACTAGGCCACAGTATGTATTAGGATTTGATTCTCACAAAATTAGGAGGCATATATGTATATATATATATATACACACACACAGAAATGTCATGTGATTATCATGTGTTATGTGTTTTATCAAGCAGAAGAAAAGAGTTAACACTTGAAGCCAGTAAGAGCGTTTGGATAAATATGGAAATGTGAGATAGTGTGCTCTCATAGTGAGATAAAATTAAATATTTAAAAATTAGACAAGGATTTAATGTTGGTAGCATTGATATAGGTAATACTTCAGCAGATAATCTGTATCGTATCTGTGATGTAACCATGACAACTAAGAGTTAACAATTATCTGTTTCCGCCAGCCATCGAGACTCATTGAGAGATAGCTGATAATACCTGGTATTATCTGGTATCAGCCCAACAAAATACCCCAGCAATACCCACACCTTTCCCATGTTGACAAACTATTTAACTGATTCACATTAAAGACATTGAAATCCAAGAATATCCACATGTCATTACAATAGCTTTTGTGAGTTGTATAAATATTGTATATTCCGTGGCAGGCCTGCCAGACGAGATTGAACAGGACGCATATTCTCTTAACTGTGTGTTTCTGGGAGTGTGATACGAGGTGAATGGAGGCAATTGGCCATATCTGCAGTGTGAGATTACCAGATGAGTAGGGTTACCCAGTGTTGTGAGGAGCAGACCCAGGGGGTAGGGGGCACCTGTCAGCGTGGGGTGCTGACAGAAACATGGTTAGTTGTGAGGAGGCCGGTATAAAGTTGAGGACACTGTTGTGTTTGCATGCAGGTATAGAACACTGTACGAAGACTGAGCCAGATAGGTTACATACTTCTGCTGACTTTAACGGAAACAGTATCTGGTGTATTTCAAGGATTCAATAAGGACAGGTATTGCATGTAAGACACTCTAATCAAATCATTTGTGACTCAGTCATGTCAACTTAAAGTCTATGCCAAAAATGTTTAATTTACAAGCCATAACTGCATTTTGGCGATATTTTCAGTAGATTTTACCCTCGGTTTATGGACGTGTGTGAGCTGATCTGAGAAGACTTGTTGAAATTTAATTAGACTCAGACTTCAATGAACTACAGCTTGTGTTGGCTGTTACTGAACATAATGTCCCTTGACTATTCATTTTGTCTGCTGATCTTGATGAATATTGCCTTGTATCGGCGGTGGGGTAGCCTAGTGGTTAAAGCATTCACTCATCATACTGAAGACCCGAGTTCGATTCCCCACATGGGTACAATGTATGAAGCCTACTCTGGCATCCCCTGTAGTGTTGCTGGAATATTGCTAAAAGTGGTGTAAAACTAAACTCACTCACTCACTCACTCACCATTGTATCAGGTCCCTATCTCTTTAAGTGAGGTATTTTTACCTTAATGAGTGCTGTACTAATTATAACCCTTATCAATTTAATCTAAATCCATCTACGGGCATATGGCCACAGTTAGGTCAGGTTCTTGGTCCTTGTGCATTGGAAATGTACTTAAAACAATATTTCATCTCATCATGCTTTTTGTTTATTCTGATGAAGCTATTTTATTATTCCACAGGAAATATTGTTTGGGTGAGATCTCCTTGGTGAATATCCACGAATATATCCTGAAATATTTCTTTATCACAACACTCTGCAGACCATTGTGATGTCTTCTGCTTTCATGATGTCACAATTAAATGACATCATTGATCTCTCTTCTACTGAGGCTTTTGTCAGCTGTAATTTTCTTGACTCAAGATATTGGTTACTTCTCTTCAAACACTTACAAAGTTGAAAGAATGATTTTGGATGATTCGTATAGCATGTCACCCTTGCATCTTCTTTGCTCAAGGGGGGCGATGGGGTAGCCTAATGGTTAAAGCGTTGGCTCGTCACCCCGAAGAACCGGGTTCGAATCCCCACATGGGTACAATGTGCTAAGCCCATTTCTGGT